AAATCGTCTTTCTTAAACTTAATAGTCTTATAATAGCGATTATAAAACTATTTAATAGATTATTAAGCTTTCTATTAGAGGTTCTTAACTTATTCTTCTACTTCTTAGTTACGATTAACTATCGCTTAAGCTTAGACATTCTTATCTAACTACTCTTCTCTTACTATATTTATATATATTATTAGCGGATAGCGATAATATATCTAGAATAAGGACGTCTTAATTACTTAATTAACTACGTTATTATAAGTAAATTTAACTCTAAATAATAAGGAAGTCTAGTTATCTTAAGAATAATTAATATAATAGTATAAATACGCTTCTAGCGTTTAATTTATCTACTCCGTCTACTTATCTATTTACGGATAATAAAACGTAGATAAATACCTACGTATAGTAAGCTAATAGTAGAAGGTTCTCTAGTATCTAGATATAAATAAGAAGCCTTTATCGCTTACGATTAATTAAGAAACGCCCTATTTAGATACGATCTCGTTATTAAATAACTATATTAACTTAGATATCTTAATATCGGAGTAGTATAGGATAAATCTAACTATCTTAGAATATCTATAGACTACTATAAAAATTAAGTCGTAAGTCTTTCGCTTACTTATCGACGGCGGTAAGTCTATAATAAAATCTATAGTTAGGTCCTACTATAGCTAATTAGACTATAGTAGTAACGCTAATAGTCCGTATAACTTATACTATAGTACTTTTATTCTCTAATAAATACTATAGATCTTTATATAGTCTCTAATATCTTTAATTATTCTAGACTACTAGTAGAACTACTATATTATCTCGCGCGTTCTACCTTAACTAAAATAGTCCTCCTACTATAAGTTATCGTAATTTACTCTTAAAATCTCGTTTCGTATAGTAGGGTCCTCTAGAATATATACTACGTCGTTAACTTATATAATTCTAGTAGAGTTAACGTACTACTTCCCCTTATAGAGTAGATCTTCTATTTTACCTTTAAAGAGGCCTTTCTAGATCTAGCGGATATACTATTAATCTTCAACCTATAACTCTTAGATTTAGTCTTCTAAAGACTTAGAGATCGACGGAGTTTCTTTAGGAGATATTAAAGAGGATTCCTTATACGTATTCCTCTTTCTAGAAGTCTAAAACTTATATACTAGAAGTATAGTATTTTAGTTATTCTCTTCTAGAACGTATCTTATTCTATAAGTTTAAGCTCTTATTAACGCTCTTATATAAAATAAAGAGACTTTAGTTATAATTATATAAATTAATTCTTATAAGCGTAAAGTAATTAAGTCGCTAAGAGAGTTCCTAAGTTCCTCCTTTATAACGTAATTTAAATACCTTAAAAGGCCGTCTATAGGGTCTTCTTTATCCTTTTAATAGTAAATTACGAAATTAAAGAGTACTAAAAGTTCTACTTATCTAGTTTACCTTCGATCTAGTATCTTTATATCTATAAAGCTCTATAACGTAGTATAGTTAGTTAATATAAACGTACTAATAGTAGGCGCTTTAAGGAAGTATCTTTATTCCTTAAAAGTACGTATAATTACTAATATCTCTTAATCCCCCGTAGGATAGTTTCGCTTTACTTTATTTCACTTCTTTAAGTAGAAGGTTATCGGACGCTATTCCTTCCTTATACTATTCGTACGCGAGTTATACTCTTAGGAGAGGATACTACTTATAGCTAATCCTAAGATATTAGTTTTAAGCTTTATATTAGAGCTACTTCCTATATAGTCTAATAGAGTTAGACTTCCTTAGTTATAGTTCCTTTATTTATATAAGCTAGGTCGAGAGTACGTAAGGTATAAGTAGTCGAGTAACTTTAGAATAGTATAGTAAAGTAGATATTATAAGTTAGCTACGAGAGAGTATAACTATAAAAGGGGAATAAGCGTAGCTATATACTTATAAGGTATATCCCGAATAAGTAACTAGAAATAGTATATTAATATATTAATATAGTAGTATACTAATATATCGATATATTAAATATTTCCTCTTTTAGTAGTTACGTACGGTATATAATCTAGCCTTATATTACTAGGCTACTACCCTAGTAGACCTACCTTTAGTCGCCCCGCGCTCTAGGTTATATAAAGGCCGTTTCTAATATAAGACCCCTATAGTTTACGTATAATCTAAGATCTCCGTCTTTCTTCCTTATAAAGAGGATTAGGGTACTTATAGGCGACTTATTAGGTTATATCTAGCCCTTTATACTAGCCTTATTAATATATTCCTAAAGGATAGTTAATTCGTTTCTACTAAGAGAGTAGATAGAGTTAAATAGTACCTTAGTTCCTTCCTTAATAGAGATTAAATACTATATCTTTATATACTTAGGTAGGATCGATAAATCTAGCTCTTTAAAAACATCGGCGTAATCTCTTATATATTCTAGGATAAAATCGATTATTATTACGTTTAATCTAATCCTAAAGGCTACTTCTACTCTAAGTATATTAAGCTTAAAATAAGCTATATATAGAGTTACATTCTAGAAGATAGTCTACGCGTTAATAATCTTAATCTCTTATCCTAGACGATAAGTCTACGTTCCTTTTAACTAACGGATATCTAGATCTATATCTAATAACTATTTAATATCTAAGATCGTATTAATATAGTAGATATCTATAGTAATAAAGTTATATAGGATATTAACCCTAATTCCCTTTAAGTTAGTAGTATATATTAAGTAAGTATATCGCCCGTAAACTAGAATAATTCTTCCGTCTACGACGCGTATTATAAACTTAATTAGTTCTCCTAATATTATATTCTTAATATAAAAACTTTATAATACGAAGTTAGTTTTTACTCCTAAGTTAATTAATACTTTTAATATATAAGGATCTTATAGAGTTATTACTTATATATTAATAATTATATAAAGTAATACTTATATTATACTATAAAGAGAAAGCTCTAATATTATAAAGGTACTTATAATATAAGTACTTAGTTTTTTAAACTTTCTACGGGTTTATTACTTAACTTATACTTTAAGTCTACGTTCTTCTTTAGAGTCTAATATTCGCTAGAACGATAGTCCTTCTTATTATAGTTATAGTAGTTACCGTCGAACTTTAACTACTACTTTTTCTTTATCTTTTTAATAACTATTATTTCTTTAGAAGTAGTTATAGACCTTATAGATACTCTCTATTTACTTATAGTCTATACTTTATATACTTTATAACTTTTATTAATCTCTTTAATATATTAAGTTATAGTAAGAACTTATTCTTAACTAGTTACCTCCGGTATCTCTCTTAAAACGGCTATTCTTAATTTAGAATATAATAAGTTAAGGAAATACTAGACCCGTTACTTAAGTAACGGTATATCGTCTAGAATATTCTACTTAATAACGACGATCTCGTCTAGAAGTTCTCTTATAGTCTAATTCTTCCGCTATTTCCTTACTTATAGCTTAGAAGTAGTAAGTAAAAGGTAATTACTTAGAGTAGTAATAAGATCTCGATAGAACTATAAAAACTCCTACTATATAGTAACGTCCCTTTCCTTAGATATCTACTACCTTATAGTAGTACTCTTAAGATATATAGTTACTATATTAATACGAAGCGTATACTCCTCTCTTAAGATATTTATATCTATAAACTAGAGTTCCTATACTATCTTAAATTTAATATATTCCTTAAGATTATTCGTAGAATATCTCGATAGCTTAACTAGACGTAATTATTTACTCTAGTTAGGCCCCGAATTAATTAATAAAGGTCTTTTTACTATCTAAGTTAATATACCTTCTATAAGTACGGTATTAATAGACTCTCCGCTTACTAACTCTCTCTCTTTATTATATATTACTTCTTCTATCCTCTTTTAAGCTAGCCTTTAGATAATCTCGTTATATCTCTCTTTTACTATAAGTTACGGTATCTTACCTCCTCTCTATAATCTAGCGTTATCCTCCCCTACGGGATAGATACTACTTAATAGCTCTTCTCCTACTTAAGTAGAGAAATCGTTAGATTATAAGAGGACGATCGTAGGTTAAAGAGGCTATTTAATCTCTTTAAATTTAGGACTTAATCTCGATTAGGATTAATTACGGGCCTACGTCCGCGTCCTTACCGCGCTTAATATACTTATAGTATACTAATACTATATTTACTATCCTTAATAGGAAGCGTTAATAAATTATTAGACTTATTATCTAACTAAAGGATAAATATATATACTATAGGATTAATAATGATAGATAACTAGCCTATAGATAGAGATATTAACGCTTAAAGAAGGCTTTAAGGTTAATAGGTATAACCCCTCTTACTCTATATATACGGTAAGCTAGCTACTTAGCTAGCGGCCTAACTCCTTAGTTAATGTTACATAGAGTGTCTACTATCACGTGGGTGTTCGTGATAAGTAGCGATAGTAGTAGGAAGAATACAGTATAGTAAAGACTTAGATATTGTCGATGCCTTACAGAATGATGATCTCCTCTCTCCTCTCCTCTTCTCTCTTCTCTTAGTAATACTTAATGGAAAGCCTATGTCATGTCCTCTATACAGTCACGTGACTGTACTATCCTTCTTTCGACCTACTCGGCCCATTACAATATATAATAACTTCTTATTATTTAAGTACTATATACTTACTACTTAAGGGAAGCTTTCTTCCCTTATACTTTAAGTCTTAGTTAAGATATACTATTAAGGAAACCTATACCTTCCTATTACCTAACGCTACCCCCTACCTATCTCTATAGGCCGTTCCTGATACGGTCACTAAATAAACCTGAGCCTGATCTAGACGCCCGGTCATTCCTGTTCCGATGTGGAAAAGCACCATAGAAAGAAACAAAACGATAATGATTCTAAAGAGCTAATGGGGTATCGTCACACTGGGCTTAGGTAATAGACGGCAGAATATAAGGGATGTTGGGTACGCGAAGCCAGGTTTTTTTTAACAGTTCCTCCCGGCAGTCGCACAGCCTGAATTCGTCGGGGGCATTATCATTGTTACTCAGTGCTCCTTACAGAGGAGGGAGCCGGGGAGAGCACATCGAGTTCGCGTTGTACGTATTTGCGGATCCCCGAACAGTGGATACTATAGACCAGGCGGCGTTTTCCCGATGCGTCCTTCTTAACACGGATCGTCAATGAGGACTTGAACCCTGCCTCATCTGTGGTGAGGTCGTCAAAATGTGGTATGGAGACCGAGTCGCTAGGGTCACGCTGCTGATCGGTGGTCTTGTCCGCTGGTTCGGGGTCATCTGGGCTTGTGCAAGTGTCGTGGCTCGTGTTCGGGGAATCCTTTGCAGGGGAAGTCTGGGTTGTTTTGATTTGAGGAGGAGCATTCGTTGCCGTCGTTGCCATCTTCGACTGTCAAAAGTATATGTTGTGAGCAGTCCGGTTCAATCACCGAGCTTATGAATGTGAGTCATATTAGAACATTAGTTACATGGTAGCTCTTTTCCCGATTCGGCCCCGGCTAGTTCAGGGCCCCATAGCATACCGCAGCAGTTGTCGCTCCCGCACAGACACGCTTCGCCGTCGTCTGATTGTTGTGGCGGCGGCGCCTTTCGCTCCTCCATCCCAGCCTGGGTGCAATCGTGGTACCTGATGGTCAGCTCCGTGCCAGCCTCCACGGGCATGAGGGTGAACACGGCGACGTGCACCCTGCCGTCAGCCCCCTCCCACTCTTCCAACCCGCAGTTCGGCTCGCCGCAGGTGTGGTTGAGGTAGCGCGCCTGCGAGTTTACGTGCGTCGCGTCCAGCTCGCGTCCGTTGCTGAGGGTCATGCGGAAGTGCGAGTTGCTCCAGTACCCGTCCGAATCCCGCATGCGGCGCACCACGCCCTTGATCTCGCCGACGAAGACGTCTTGCGGCAGATCCTCGTCGGTGCGCAGGCCGCGTCCGCGACGCGTGTGAGTTTTGAAGACGGTGAGCTTGCGCTCTGGTGGCTCGGCGAATAGCCGATTTTGGCACCAAGAGCGACCGCAGTTTTCGTGATCACATTCAACACGAGTCCTGCGGTTCACGCACTCGTTTGTGCTGCAATCGTCTTTGCAGCCCGAAGACTCGCATCGGCCAGACATGAATGTCCGTTTCGTGAGGGAGCGTGGGCTGCGCCGCAAAGGGCTCTGGACTGCCTCTTGTTGTATCGTGCCGACGCCGTGGTTGCGTGGGCTGCGCCGCATAGGGCTCTGTTTTTTCTCAGCCGTCTTTGGTCGAGAGAGCTGTTTCGGGCGATGATTTTGAAATGACGACGGCATTGTGCAGGCTGTAACTGGCTCCTGTTTCATCGCGACATCACCGAAGTCGATGCGCCCCAAATGCTTCAGACCAAAAAGCTCTTACAGGTGTTGAAAGAACAGGACGAATGTCACAAAAATTTGGACAACGACCTGAAGCTCAGGGTGGTCCTGTGGTGAAGGCCCTGGTGTGCTGGCGCAGGCTGGGGCTAACTCTTCTTGTTCGACTATTGTCGAGGCGCAGATTATGGTGTCACCCCATCGTTCAGGCTTCGGTGACGCTATTTCGTGTCGGCCCAGCCCCATAGCTGAAGTCGTGGCTGTTTGAGATGCTTCCGGCAGCTTTGCTCTGGATCTTGGGGGAGAAATGGGTGAACATGAGTCTCGACTCGTCGGTCTTTTTGCTGAAAGCAAACCACAGACCGGCCGGACGCGCTCACGTCTTGACGCACTCACGTATTGCCCGGTTTGGGACTTCCTTTATGTAACACAGCCATGTTCTGCGATAGAAACATCGTAGCCAGTAGACTAGCCATGGCAGAGTATCCATTAATAGGCAGCCAATGGCACATGTACACGATGTTGGAGCACGCCCGAGACCTACGGCTCGGAATTTCCGTTGTCCAGTTAAGGGTCACGTAGAAGGAATTATCCGCCAAGACCCTGGCTACCAACACACGCCCCTGTTACTCCTGTAACCCCCCTATCACCCCCCTGTTAATCCCCTGTCAATCTCCTGTCACTCCCCTATTAATCTCCTATTAATCCCCTATCACTCCCCTATCACCCCCCTATCACCCCCCTGTCACGTCCCTGTCACCCTCCATGCAGCCACATAGCAACGCCTCACTGATCAACCCGCCAATGGCGTCGATAACGGCCCGCGATACAGATTCTCAAACATCATTTTCCCAAACATCCGGCGCTGGGGCGAGGAAATACCGCGGCGCACCCAGGCTGCACGAACATGAGACCATCCTCGAGTTTTCCACCACTTACGATGCGGCAAGCACCACCCCCCCGCCCCCCCCCCGCCCCCCCTTCCTCGTCCACTGTTGTGTAAGATTGCTGACACTGTGGTCGTTTCTCAGATATTTGGCAGAGATGTCTTAGTATCTATGCTGCGCTACGAGTGCCGCGAGCCTACATCCTGGCCCCGGGGTGCCGGAAGAGGAAGACGAAAAGCAAGACGCGTGGGGCTCGAAAATGGAGATTGGCACCTGCGACCCAAAGGACATTGAAAAGCCCTGTTTGTTGATCCAGAAAAGGATGCAATGGATGACGAGGACGAACAACTCAAATTGCGGCTGTTGCGGTGGGAGGAGAAAGCGAGGCGGGTTGGTGAACACAAAGACGGGCGTCTGTAAGGATCAGAAGGTGCATCCCACAGGCACCACCACCTCCTCCTTATGATGAATGAATTACAAAGGACTGGCAGATGGGTAGTGGGAACTGAGAAATTGAGCATCACCTCATAGAAGTATAGAATAGCTATTTCATATATCCCCTAATAAGCTTGAGCTTAGTGAGCTAGCCGGTCCTTCTGACAAAGGGCCGCGCCGCGCCGCTCACTCCCCGGATGTCGGTCGGCTCGAGCTGCTCGCAGTCGACGTACACGTTCGGGGCCTGGAAGCACCGGATCAGAGCTTCGGCCAGACTCGATTTGCCCGTCCTCGACGCGCCGTAGAATGCCATCTGCAGACGGTCGATATTCCCCTTGGCCCGGATGGACGACGCGATGATCTGGTTGCGCATCGCCTGGAGGGGCAGCTTTGCCACCTCGGGGAAAAAGGGAAACATTTCCGGCTTCGCAAACGGCGGCAAGCCCTTCAAGGCGAGTGGACATCATCTTGAAGTACCGGAGGATGGGTTGAATCTGGGTGTGAGAAAAAAGATTAAAAAGTTGGAAAGATGCTGAGGGGAAAATAAAAACAAAGCGGATGGCGTTAGAATTATTCATGAGATTTTGCGGAACGGGGACTTTCAGTGAGAATAGAGACCAGATGTAGGCCAGAGCTCATGCCTCGGTTAGATTGTCAACACCCTTTTTCAGCCCCCCGCGAACTTGTCTTAGGGTCCAGCGTTGTTCTCGCCTCATTTCTCCTCTTCTTTGCTCAACTTCTTCTTCCTCATACCCCATGTTCAGGAGTTTGCACGACGCTGCCCCGAGTCCCGCGCCAACATGTCTAGACAACTCCCCCATTCTAATAGGCGCTGTTTTTTCGCACCAGAAAATACCGCGGCTGCCATACGACACGGATCATCCGGCCCAGACAGACAAAACACCCCGCACCTCGAAGCCGTGATGCAGATGTCCACGCAGGAGGATGAGAAACGCCCGCAGTCTTCTAGTCGCCAATGCGGCCATGAAAGACTTGTGACCGCGCGATGCAAAATATCCTACGAACGTTTCGATATGTTGATACATACAGTTTATGGGCGGGGCAGGCGGCCTAGCAGAAGAGTTCTGCAAGTAACTACGACACAGTTTATCGAAGAAGACGGCGCAGTAGTGACTGATGAGAGTTCTAGAATCCCAAGTAACCTACGCAGTGCTATCACCCACCCACTCACTCCCACGCAGGGTGCCAGTCAGTCGCCAGGCTTTTTCCAAGCCCCCAGTGGGCCCCTCCTTCATACTTTTTATTTCTGCGCAAAAGAAACCAAAGGACGCATGGATGAGGAAAAAAGAACGAGAAAGAGAGGAAAAACGACAAGGAAGAAGGGAGGAAAGAGTAAGAAACCAAAGGAAACGATGCCGTACTATCCGATAGGCCCTTTGGACTTTGTAGAAAGTTCTGGATGAAGCGAGTGTGTGGTTCTTTCCCCCTCCCTCCCCTTTCCCACCTTCCCCAAGTATCTCTCTGGTCACTACTTAGGACAGTCTGGAGTGACAACAGCTGGAATCCAAATCCCGTCCTCGTCTCTTCCCTACCCAACGTCCAACGTCCAAGTGTATGCCCTCATCGCATCTCTACTCGCATTGCAATCTGGACTTGTTCATCCCCATCATCACCCGAAGAAGAAACGCGAAAACATGGACCTCGTTTCCACCTTGGCGTCTCCGTGACTTTCGTTGCTGAGGCGTTCCCACTCTTCCTCATCCTTGTCCTCGTCCTCGTCCTCCGCACCAGGCCCATTGCTCGAAGCTCTCCAGCGCTTGATGGCCTTGGTAGGATTCTCCATCCTCGGCATATTGTTGAGCACGCCCTTGCTCAGCCGAACCGTGGCCTTGGCCGCGGCGGTGTCAGGACCTGCGTCGCTGCCCTTGGTACGTTGCGCGCCGTCCACGCCTCGCACTGGAAGCGTCGTCTTCACCTTGGCTTCGGTGGGCTCCGCCTCGGTAGGCTCGGCAGCCGCGGTGGCCTTTCCGAGACCGATGGTCTTGTCCAAATCCATTTCATAAGCCGAGCTCGGCTCATGATCGCCGTCCTCTGACACCGTGCTTGGTGCCACGGCCGGGACGTTGACGGCTTCCGGTGCCTCTTGGGCGTCGCCCTCGGCCTTCTCATTGACATCTGTACCCACATCCGTGGTAGCCTTGGCTTCCTCCTCTTCCTTCTGTCTCTTCTTCTCCTTCTGCCTCTTCTCTTCCCTCGCTGCTTTCTTCTTCTCCCACTTAATTTCGGCAGCATGGAAGGAAGGATGGACATAAACAACTCTGACGCCGCCGTCGCGCTCGACGATGTCCGGCATCTTCTTGTTGGGGTCGGGCTTCGGTACGGACGAGGCCCCAGGCACGCTGATCCAATAGCGTCCCTCCTCGTCGGTCTCGAAGACAAAGAAGTGGTCGGTCAGCTGAGCAGCCAGGCGCAAAAGCTGAATCGACCGAGCATCATATGTCTCGGCGTCCTGGACATAGTTGCTGCGAACCTGTATCTCGTCATAGTCGTATTTCGACCTCTTGAGCCAGCCGTTGGGGAAGAGAGGGGGATCACGACGCAGCCCTTCCTGCCTCCGCACTTCTGCCTCTTCGGCTTCTTTGGCGGTCTGCACAGCCGCCGCTAGGGTGGCATCAGGGGCGGCGGCTGGGCAGGCAACGACTACGGCGCCCCCGGCAGGTTTCTCCAGGGATTCGTCACAGGGTTCAGGCTCGGCCTCTCTGGCGAAGAAGTGCCCCGCAAGCAGACTATGTTCCGGTAGTGTGTTGGCGTACATCAGCTCCCAATCTGGTGTCTTGGTGTCCAGGTCTTTCTCGTGCGCCGTATCACTGGTCGTGGTCTCTTCCCGGGTGACCATGGCCTCTTCTGCTTCGGCCTTGGCCTTGATAAGCTCTGCCTTTCGTTGGTCCTCTTGCTCGCACAAGTACTTCCTGCGGCTGTCTTCGGTACTGAGCCCGTACTTGTCCAGCTTCTTTTTCTCGTTGAGCAACGAGCATATTGTCACGAGTTCCGACGACTGGGACGCGCTCTCCAGGGCAAGGCCGCCTCGGGCCTCGTCCTCGCGCAGGAGCATGTTGAGGAAAGGCGCCAGAAGCTGCGCGTGGAACGCCGAACCGAACCATTCCAGAAGGTCGGGCCGCGTTTTCAGGGAGCGCATAAAGACCAGCATGACATAGATGAATCCCCACAGCCTGAGGTCACGCGTATCGGCCTCCTCCAAGAGGTAAGGGACCATGGTGCGGATCAGCTCGATCGTTACCTCATGGATGTCCCTTGCGTTGGCCATGGCGTCAGAATCGGCGCGGTCTGCGGCCGTCACGAGGTCAGGGGCCCACGCCGCCATCATAGGGCTCCGTCTTTCATCAACAAGGGGAATTCCCAGAAGCAGCTGGCAGAGCAGGAGGCCGAGTTGGGGGCTGCAAGTGATGATCAGTTAGATATGGGGACTAACTCATCATCCCACGGGGGCCAGCACGTACCTTGGACAAATTCTGGATGTCTTGGAAGATGCTGCACCAATCTTGATCTTCTTCAGTGCCGCATAGACAGCCTGAACATGGTCGCTTCTCCGGTCCTCGTAGCCATTTTTCCTGAGAGTCTCGGGCTCCAGAGAAGCGAGAATCAGGTGGGAAACAGCGGTGAGGAAGTGGTCTTTGTCTGTCTGGGGGCGGCTGGCCGGCTTCTCGGCTTCCTTCTCATTCCGGGCAACAATCGTTTTAATAAGGAACAACACGGTCTCCCGCGCGGGGAAAAACGGGACTTTGACGACGAGGGCCTTGGTGTAGTAGAAAAACTGGGACACAGAGGCTTCGAATTTTCCGTCAGGCGAAACCCGAGTCCGAGCCTGCGCCACGACAGCGAGGTGGTGGTAGATGCGGCCGGTCGTGGGATTCTTGCTCATTGCTCGAGTGAACCCCTCTTTGGCAATGTCATGCCAGCGCTGCGAAGCCCCCTCGTCATCGCTTTGAGTGGCCATTCTACAGAGCAAGTGTCAGTCTTCGTCATCACATCTGTCTATCGTATAGTAGACGACCTGGAAGGGGCAACGCCTCTACTTACCCGTATCGGGCCAAATCCGCTTTGCATTCGATCCAGGTGTCATAGAAGCGCGGGACACTCTCATCCAGCAAAGACATCATTTGGTATGCCAGGATGATGAAATCCGCCAGATGTTCCCCGCATTCGACACGTCGTTTAACCATGACATCGAGAAAGGAGTGTATCCCGAACCTCCACATCCTTGACGGTATGGCATACTTTGCTGCGAGCTCTTTGAGCGCTGCCGACGCGCTGGGGTGCTGCGATGCCAAGAAGAAGTCGTGGGTTTCGTGTAATACTGTGCGGTGAAGCCAAATGAGAGCCGCCAACTGCTCCGCATTGAGACTGGGGACCCATTGGCCCTTGATCAGCACCCAGTATTCGCTGCCAACTTTTTTGTACAAACTCTGATCACTCAGCTGCCTGAACTCGGCATGGCATGGCAGTTCGGTCTCGGGCTTCTCCTCGGGAGCGGCGGCCTCCTTCTCTGCTTTCTCTCTGGCACTCTCCAAGTCTCGCAAGATCTGATCGACCAACTCGTACCCGATGGCGAGAAAGTATTTTCCGTCCAGCACCTTCTGGCGACCCTCGTCGCCGATTTCCGCCGTCGTGGCCGCGGCAATTTCCTTATACTCGGGCCATCCAAGCTCCTTGGCACGCGCCTCCAGGGCCACCTGGAATCCATGCAGATAATCCTCGGGGGTGCCAACTTGAGGAGTAGTCTTCTCTGACACGTGGGGATGGGAAGGCTTCTGATCTCCTTCTGCCGCATCCTTGTGAACCTTGAGATACCAAGTCCGAACCGTGCGATTTGGCCTCGTTTCGCTGCTCTGAAGCAGTACCAACTTGGATTCCGGGATCATCAACAGGTACTTGGTGATGTCGAGCGGGCCATCTGTTGGGGGCATCAGGTTTGAGACCAATTCTATGCATTTGCGTTCGACCATCGCCAAGCCGGCATAGATGAGCTTTACTTCGTCCACCAGTTGCTCCTGCGAAATTGGACGGGTGTCAAGCTGCTTCTTCATTTCGGGCCCCGGTTGCGAGTCAAATGGTGATGGGTCTTGATTGTTGGCTTTGACGGTCTGAACCTCCTTGGCGACGACGGCATTGCTGGAATATTGTTCGTGGCCGGTGACAGTGGCTGTCTCGTCCTCTGTGTCATCATCCACTTTGGTCTTCTCATGGCTTCCGATACTCACGGAACCGTTCCCGTCCGGAGAAAGAGGAGGAGACTGCGATGATGCATCAGAGGTGTGATGAATCACGGAGTCGGTCATGAGGCAGCTACTGTGCGTTACTACTTGTCAGCAGAATGCCAGTCGTGTTGATGGGATCAACCTTGACGTACTCAGCAGGAGCATCTTTTGCGTTATGCGGACCACCACCCATGGTGGAGATGAGAAGAGCGGCGGAGCTGCTGTAGCTGAGATCCAAATCGAGGAGAAACACTTGACTGGTGAAGGGATGAAAACACGGCAAAATCTGGAGAAGAATCGGAGCAAACAAGAAGCAGTACACAGGGACTGTGGCAAGGCTTATATTGGGAACCTAAAAGAAAAAAAAAAAAGGCACCGAAAAAACTTGGGGAATAGGCACTCGCTCATGTGGTCGCCGATTCGCCTTGATGCTGCAAACGCACATCTGCTAAACAGTCGACGTTTTGAGCCGCCGACTTGTTCGCCTTTCTGGTTGCGTTGTGGTTGCCTTTTGATAAAACCAGCTGGGCACCGAGTGCATTCCTGTGCCATCTGAAGGACCCCAGTGTGACTCACGGGGCGTACGGCCCATTCCTACGGTGGCTCCTTCGTGGATTGTTGGCTCGTGTCCCATGCGCATGGCAGCTGGACACATTCTGACCGGTCAAAAAACGCGAAGGCAAAAGACGCGAAAGTAGGGCGCTGCGAATGGGGAGGATTGGGAGTGTGGGCTAGGCTAGGCTAGGCAGCAATGCAGCAGGGCAAAGAGGAATAAGAGTAAGAAGGGGGGAAGTGGGGTCCATGCAGGAGGTCCGACCAGCTTCCTGGGCGTCAGCAAATAATAGTATTGTTTAATAATAAATCTCGTCGCTGATAGCCCTCTGGCAGTGGTGGTGAAGCTGATGGTGCCGGTGTTTTGCCACCCAAACCTTGAATTCCCGCAAACCTTAATTGCTGACAGACCCCGAGTTTTGTGTCTTTGAGCTGGAACACCACTGAGATCTACTAATTGATATTTCGCACACGATACATGATTCTACGATATCAAAGACCTCCCCCCTAAAGATTTTATAGTTAATACCCTGCTGGTGGTGTAGTCGTGGTGTCTTGGCCGTCAAACCTTAATTCTTGCCTGTCGCTCAGTGCGAGTTTTGTGTCTTTTCGCTGCAGCACCACCTAGGCCTGATATTTGATTTTTAACATCTGATACATGATACTACGATAGAAAATACCTCCTCCTCGAGATTTTATAGTCAATGGCCCGGTGGTTGTGTAGTGGTGGTGGTTTGCCACCCAAACCTTAGATTCCCTTTCGCAGAGCCCGAGTTTTCGTGTGCCTTTGTCGGTTGATATTCCATGTTCGTCTATCTACCTTTCTCCCCTCCGTCCGCTTTCCCTTTCGCTCTCGTTGTAAAGTCAAGCGTCCGACCCCATCCGGTCCTGCTACGATCGAAGCCAAGTCGACGCGTCTCGTCCCACTTCCGTCAAGAAACTGCCACCTCAGGCAGTCAACGCAATCTGAGCCGCCTTCCCATATCGTTTCCCGCACGATTTTAATCGTTCTCCATCGCCGTCATCTTATCTTCTCTTGTCCCTCCAGCACGACTTGCACGCGTCTGTTTTCTCAGTGTTTGTTTGCCGACCGGGCTAATTAGATCTCCTCAGCCTGTAGGAACAGGTGACAATGTGCCAGCAGCGGCTCGGATCCCACGGGGCGAACCAAGCGGCCTGCGGCTCCAAGTCAGCTGCTGCTTTTCGGTGTGCCTTCACTGACCCCTGAGCAAAGTTTGCTCATGCCCGAACCCCCGAGGGTCGTCCTGCACTTGATATTGGGTATTAGCTATTGATGTGGATGCATGTCGGAACTTAACCCTGACGAATCGCAATGTAAGCTCGAGATCGTGGACCTTGTTTCCTACTCCTGCTCCTGTAGAGCGGCTGACCGTAACGTCGACAACCAGCGCCAGCCTCTCCGGTTACAGCCACACCAATCAATCACTTGGTCCGGCGTGGAACAAGACAATGCAACTTCGGCTTCGATCGTGGCGGGACCGGACAGGACAGCATTGGCTCGACCGCTTCGCTTTTCTGTGAAGAAGCCATGTTGGAAATATCTGCGACTGCGGAGGGAGCCGGGGGATGAAAGGTTAGACAGGCAGACAGCCAGAGAACATGGATATGACGTTCCTTTGTTGTCTGAAACGTGTACGGAGAGAGAGTGTGTGTTTATATGTGAGGGCGGTTCTTGACTCAACAGTTGCCAACGGCTGAAACCCAGGCTGACCTGCTAGCCACAATCTCGGCTACTGCCTCTCACAGAATCGTGCATGGACGGGGCATTCCACTTTTGGAAAACAAGGATACTGGGAGACATATCTCCGTTGAACCGGGCGTGCTGAAAGCTCACGGGGCTGGAGTTCGGGCCGCGGACCCGTCTGCAGCTTCCTCGAGGACAGACGAGGGTTGACCCGAATGTCGTTGGATGTATCTGTTTATACAGGCCGTTCTTTTTGTGGGAGGAAATGACCTCTGTATCGATGTCAAGGAGGCACTGCTCATTGCCAATACGCCGTTCTGGGGAGGGACATCGGTGGAACCCATTCCTGACCAGCGGCCGGGGGTCAAGCAAGGGGACCACGGACAGGCTGTTTCCCTCGTGAGTGCCGTTGACTGTTGGCCTCCACCAATATCAGCGTAGGATTCTGTAGGAACGCCGCCCTTGGGCATGAAGAAGGTGTCAACGAACTCGATCCGCCGCAGGGTATCCGGAAAGCCATGGCAACATACCAAATTTCAGGTGAACCCACAAAGAGTTATGAGGCCGTGTCCCAGAAAAGCCGAAGAATTGGTATGGCTGTCATCTTTTGCGTGATGACAAGTCCAGCCACCAAGAGTCCTCGACAAGCCACTGAAGTGCAGACTGACGCTCGACCTTTTGACCTTTTACGCTCTTGAATTGCTGCCAACAACGCAGCGCGCTCCGAGTGACCTCTCTGCCTCCCCGACCATTCCCATCCATATTCTGGGCAGTGTGACAGCATCGACAGAGTCGAGCCGAGACATTACTCGATGTCCGCCTGGTGACCGATGTACATGGTCGTCTTGCCTGAAAGGTCTTGACTCGGACCGGTGAGGCTGGTGCTGAGCACTTGACACGAACAAACTTTGCTGCTTGTCAAGATCTGTAGTTGGCAAAAGTCCACAGGGCTGCGCTGTAGGCATTGAAGGTTCCTCCTATCTCAAGCCAAAGGACCAGCCAAGGGGTCTCGCAAATTGGAAGCTGTAACCTTTTTCCATTGGTGATGGGGGCGGGCGCAGCCAAACAGAATCAAAGTCTCTGGGGCAGACAGAGATCTCAAGGGCGCTCAGAAGCTTCAACTTCAAGTGTCGAATCGGCTCTGGCTTGTTTGAACCCCCCAGGACGAGTCATCAGGCGGCGTACCAGCGACGTTGTTCAAGAAGAAGGTGGACCGGTGCCCCAGTGGTGCTGCTTCTGCCACTCGTACTCGGTGGCGCCAGAACTTCCTCGCAAGCGTTGTGCGAGTCGACGCCCTCAACATGGACATGACATATTGACAAGCCCAACGGACGGACAGAAGATAAAGTGCCTTCGCAGACAGAGGCGCAGAAGGAGCCGCGGCGAGCGCCTTGGCCGTCTTGAGAACCTGCTCTCATTACCAGCGGGGTGGATGGTCGCGGCACACCAAAACCGTCCGGTTTCCCAAAGTCTAGCGCCGTCTCATCGATCGCCGATGAAATGAGACGGCCCAAGCGATCTACGCGTGTTGGTTTCCCGATCACGGACCAATTCTCCTTGAGTTCGTCGAGGAGTTTCATGTGTCAAGACCAGCCCGGTGCAATATCAACAAGGGCTCTCCGCGGGTCAGGCCGTTGTATCCACAAGGCCTTCCAGGGTATCTTCGCCTCTAATCTCTCAGGCCTCTTGAACTTGCCGCCTGAGTCGATCGTCGGAGGCCTTGTAGTTATTCAGGTAGTGGGCATCATTCCGGTCGTTCATGATATTTCAGAGGTACTCTGAGTAATCGGATTGGGATCTGGCGAATTAGGATGCATAAACCAGAAAAGGGAGGGAAAACACACCTTTGACGGTCTCATTCAGTGAGTCATAGTCGTATGTATTACCTGGGGATACGGAGAAGTTGTAGTGGGCTTGGTGTTGGATCAACGGGTCGTACCAGCCGTTGCCGATCAACACATGTTCGAGGCGGATGTTGTGTGCTACGGTGATGTTCTTTGCATTCTGCTGTCTAACATGATGGGTTCATCGTGGCCACCTGAAGCCAGTAAATGTTAGCTGGGTCTAGTACTTCTCGCACTTAGTCTTTTGGGGACTGGGGTGCGCTGGCAGATGGAGGACGTATCAAGGTCTTCACTCCTCGATTGAGCCGCCGGAAGTAGTCCTCATCGTTGGGAATCTCGCCGCGCCGACAAGAATAGCCCAGAGGCGTAGAGGCGGTGGTGCAAGATACCGCACAGACCAAGACGGCGCAATACCTCGGCCGGAAATTTGTGAGTTTGAAGGCTCGGATACGCGCACCCGGTCAAGACGGGCGTGCCCCGGGGCGTCGAGGCCTCGACTCTGCTATCCACCCGGCTCCTGCTCGAGCATCAAGCAGTTCGCGGCGGAGATTCGGCGGAGGAAACCCGGGCCGTACAAGGGCAAAGGGATCTTTGTGAACGACGAGACTCTCCCGTTGAAGGCCAAGAAGATCAAGTAGATGGGCCGAATATGATGGCGATGGTGGAAGAGAGATTGAACTAGCGTCGTCGTTCGCTTGTGGGCACGCTTGCCTCTGCCAAAAGCAGGCGGCGCCGTTGACGCGGGCAGGACTTGTTCAGGCGAGGTCCCAGGCGAAAGGCTGCGGCACGGCTGGCATCAGGGTTGGCCGTACAAAACAGGCAACAGTGAGGTCTGGGAGGCGACGACGTGGTCGAGGATGAATGACCGACTGAATTGTAGCATTTGTGTGCGCACATAGTAGAAACGAACGTCAGGCAAAGTGTTTGGTGTTCGCAGTTTCTGCCAGGCACATTAAGCGGACTTGGTGTGGTACGAACTTGCTGTCGGTCTTGCTGGCCGGATGCATTCCCGCGGAGTTCGACAAAATACACCCAGGACCTGGAGGCGCTGGTGGACGGGCGAGGAGACCAAGGATCCTGAACACGGCGAGAGCAATCGAGGAAAACGACGTGTCGCGACGTGACCAGACACGCCGTGCCACAGCACAGCATGATATGGTGCGGTGTGGTATGGGATGGCGCAAAGGGACAGAGTATGCAGCAGCAGCAAGCGGCAAACGCATGCATACAGACGTATAAGGTCGAGGGTGACAAAGGTCGAGGGTGACAAAGGTCGAGGGTGACAAAGGTCGAGGGTGACAAAGGTCGAGGTCGATGAAAACCATACGCAGGAGCGCGGACCGCGTCCAGAGATGGAGGGTTGAACGGATTGAATTGTACCTCTCAACACCAAAACATGTTCAGACGCAGGCAGCTTTAACAAGATTGAACCAACAAGATTGAACCGAGCCGCGCCGCGCTTCCCCCCCCCCCCCCCCACAGCCCGCAGAGATCACGCTGCTGACCGCTTCCTCAAGGCAATAGTATTCTTAAAGGGAGCTAGCTTTCCATTTCATTTTCTTACTTTCACCCAGAATTAGTCGGCATCATGCCCGACTCGGTCAGCTCCATCGATCAGCCTGGACTTGACGGCTTCTTCCTCAGTCGTTCGACATCCAAACCGAACAAGTCCACCAGTGTCGGCGCAAGAAGCTCCTGAAGCGTCGGACGCATCCTCGCATGAATCATCGACTTTTCTTGAAGCGCGCACGTGCAAGATATACTTCCTGTCAATGCAGGCGGTGTCGACCCAGAAGTATCAAAGGCCATCGACCGCAGCCTTGTCCGCGCAGAACTCATTACCTATCCCCTCCTGTCGTGAGCCTCGACCGAGGAGCGTTGAAAACGCGCATTCATCCAACCACGCTGAAGTGCCGGGTTGCCTCGAGAAGATGAAGAGGAGGAGAGAAGGACACAGAAGGTACTGTGCTGAGTTCCCCCAGGATTTCGCGGACGGCCTCGGTCTCATTGTGACGAGTCGACACTATCGGGATGATCGAGCGGTCGGAGAGAATGTGGGCTTCCCACAAGTTGTAGCCATTTAACCAGGAGATGGACACACTGGTCGTATTTTGTGGCAGGGTCTTATTTGTCATGTGCCTAAACAAGAAAGAAGTTGATTCTCTATCGGGGTTTTTCCCCCCATCACTTTACTTTTCCGATGGGCGAAGCACTGCACAAGGGACATTATTATTCATATGGATTCATGATGGTGTTGCAAAGAGAAAAAATCGAGATGGAGGAATACAGGTAATGAGATGGAAGAGACAGGTATCGAGATCTACCCAGACTGTTCTATCTAGGTGCTAGTTTTCAGAGCCTCTGGCGAGATCAAGGCCGATGAGACGAAGCACATCTCAAGCGCCACGTAATGACATGATTGTGAGCTGCGCTGCGGCAAACATGCTTTTCCAGTCGATGGCAGAACCCCCTTGCAGATACTCCAGCCACGGCGGCCCAAGGCACTCGGCGAGGAAGTGGATTCCACGCCAGAAGGGCAACTGTCTTGCGGCCGATTCCGTCCCTCCGAATTCGACTTCTGGATGATCGATCATGTCCACGAGTGCTTTGGCGCATTTCTTGATTTTTCCGACATCTGACAGTTCCTCAAGCCAGATCAAAGCTCTCATGCGCACCGCAGCCTTTTCGGCACCGGGGGTTTCCTTGGACACATGCCACTGCAACCAGAGCTCCAAACAAGCGAGTCGATTCAGACGAGTCTCTTGATCAAACCCCGCACATATCTTTTCCCACAGTTTTGGGTCGCTCTCGGGCTGGGGCAATGGTTGCATGATCGCCGGACAGTAGAAGTTGACGGCTGCGTCCTTCTTACGCAGAATTTCCCTGGCGCCGAGTTCATAGGTGTTGCGGCCGAGAGACAAAAGTAGTTCGTCGATGGGATCATCACCAGGTGCCCACACGGTGTCGGCCGCACCGTCATCTGGAGGACCCTTTGCGGCGGCATAGTAGCGTCTCCGGGTTCCCCAAGGCTTGGGCACCCTTCTGATTCGAACGCTGAAGAGGTTGTTTTGGAGCCGATTGAGGTGGGCCGTCACCTCCGAGGGTTTGTCGCTGATGAGCGCATTCCACATCCGCACACACCCTTTGAGTCCTTCGGACACGGCAAACATCTCAAATCGTACTTTGGCAATCGGGATTTCATCTTTCTCGGCCGCGACAATAGCAGCGACGACATTTCGGTCGAGCGAGGACATTGCAAAGATGCCACTTTGCGCTTGACTTTGGTTGTAGCAGTCCTCGTGGTGTGCGATGATGGCTTCGTGGAGAGCGCGTAGATGAGATTTTGCCTCAGTCTTCCATGTGTCTCCCTTTTCGTCTGCACCGAGGTGCCGTCGTAGCAGTTGTCGAGGAAGGAGAAAGTAGGGACCGCGGTCAAAGTTCTGTGGTAGATTCCACGCCATGCTTGGATGGAAGCAAAGTGACAGAATAGATGGGCCTTGAATGGGAGGTAGGCTACTCGACAAGGTTTTGACAGCTGCTTGACGTGATGGAAAGAAGGACGCAACTGACCGGAAAATGAAGGTTGGAAGCACACGAGAGACAATAACTAGACAGGATATAACCAACTGGTGACAGACAGGCTGGCAGGCGGTGCTGGCAGGCGGCGCTGACAGCAGGCGGTCAGCCCAGTTCGACACCGAAACTACGTGCCGAGTTGCCTAATCAATCAAGTTGTTCAACTTGCAGGGACGACTGCGCCCTGATAATTGATGTCTGAGACATGGTACATGAGAGTACGATGGCGAATATCCACTCCCTCGTCGCTCACGGCGTATTGGTCGCTGGTGGTGGTGTTGGTGTTGTGGTGGTGATACTGGGTGGTGTACCGGGGGGTTGGCTGTACAACCTCAATCCCTGTAGAATGGACTCGTATAGTGTGAGGCTATTCCCCCTGATTGATGCCCAATAGCTAGTGCTGGCACCTATGATCTCATGGCGAATGCCCCACTCCCTGGGCGCTTACAGCCCATGAATTATTGGTGATGGGCTAGTGGATGCCTAGTGCGGCGTGGTGCGGTGTTTTGGACTTGGCTGCCTCGGGGGCTGCCTCGGGGGGCCTCACCCACTGAACGTGCACCCTCGCCCACCCTCAGAGACACCCAGAACCCGCACAGAAATTGGCAGTCCTGCTGACCCCACCCAACACATCCATCAACTAATCAGAAGTGACATTCGTGTCAAAATCCCCCAAACAGCATGGATTGTGCCAGCGCCTGCAGTCCCCAGGTGAGCAGGGCTCCTTCACCGCCTCGCCAGCACAACATGACGTGTCAAGATCCTTGGCAGATGGGAAGACAACCACCCCTACCATGTGCTAGCGTCTCTATCTATTTGGGCGCAACCACCTAATACACCGTTGCTCCCCCATGTTCATGTCTCTTCACCGGTCAACTCATTTCCCAGGCGCTCTCCTGTGTGACGTGTGGTGGAGTCGAATACTGGTTGCTTGGCCATCTCAGCAGCTGCCTGCGACACGCTTTCTGTGTCACGACACGCGCCTTACTGATGAGTACTGCGTGCTCGAACAGGATCAAAGGATGCCACGACGGTCGCGGATCCCCATGAGCTGGTATCAGGCCCCAACGCCCTCCTCCAAATCACTTGCGGCACATGGGTTGGGCTGTTGAGCCGCAGGTATGAGGCAAGTCCACCACCAACCCTTCTATTCCACGACACCCTATGCCCGACCTCACCCTCAAAAGACCTTTCTTCTCGAGGAAACTCGCTCCAAATCTTCATCACCAATCTCACGAGGACGACAAAGAGCTTGCCTCGAGTCCTCCATCCATCGGTGGCCGCAGCTCTCTGACGTGCGAGGACGAACACTATTCTGCCTTTGCCGGCGAGACCATCGCAGCTCAGCAACGGTACGTCAGACCAGCCGCAGTATGGTGTTTGCCCGATAGAATGGCTGCACTTCCTCAGCAAGACCTGTATAGCTCACTCTCTGCCAGTTTCAAGTCTCTGGAAGGAAAATGGAAGGAAAAATGGAAGGAAAAATGGAACCAGAGTTGTTTCTTTCGATCATCCGCACGGCTGCAGGATTGGATCTCAAGGACCATTATGCGGGTTCCTTGTTTCGAAAGAGACTCAATGAAATAGCTGACGCCTACGAGATACTGATTTCATCGGATGATAGCGTTCGCGGAAGCGCGAATACGATGCCAGGAGAGCGAATGAATCCAGTCATCATGAAAATCTGCGGCCACAAGACTTTCCTCGACATTCGAAACCAACTACTCAAAACGGACGTCGGCGAGCATAATACCCAGCGGCGATTGCGCAGATTTGTTGACTTTGTGCGTCAAGCTACTCGCGACACCTCGACCGACTTACCCAAGGGTTTGACCTGCGGATTGTTCGACGCTATAAACACGAAAGGCGCTGTCGATGCTCTCATCAACTCCATCCGATGGAAAGAAAGCGACTTGAAGAAACGGGCTGTTCGAGCTCTCGTCATAATCTGCGCCGTCACCTATCCAGAGGAGGTACAGGCTCTTCGAATTGACCTCCTAGCCTCCGGCATCGCCAATCTAGAGCTGATACGGACTCTTGAACCTCTCGGCACAATCTTCGCCACCGCCGAACCAGACAAAGGTGCTGACTCTCTGAACACCCAGACAAAAGATGCTGACTCTCTGAACATCCAGACGAAGATGCTGTTCTTCTGAAATGAATCAGCTCCAGCACGGAGAGACACTCCTGCGCGTTGAATCCACAAACCGAATATGGGAACCCCCCATCGGGAAGAGGGAGGATGATGTGAAGACACGGCATCGGTGGCAAGGGTTGGGGAAATCGTGCAACAATGCAGTCATTCATTCATCAGATAGTTTACGGACCCAAGACGAGGGTGCGTTGGAGCTCTCCTGAATTCTCTCGTCCTGTCCGCTCTGGAACACATGTCCGTGCATGAGACGAAATACCCTGATGTAGACAGGAGAAGAACAGGACAAGGGAGAGAGAGAGAGGAGATGACCAGGCTCGGACACTCTTTTAGAGATAGAAAACCAAAACCGACGTTCCTTCCTCCTAGTCCTTCTCACGGTCGGAAGATTCTCTTTGGTTATCTGTTTCTCACTCTTCCACTTGGCCCACCCCCTCCGGCCCTTGTGGCACAGCGAGTATGGCCCATACACCTTTCCCTTTGATCAATACTCTTCCCTGGATTCCACGTGGATGTGCGGATTCCCCACTGAAAGATGACACCTCCTTCAAATATGATGGCCACATGCCGCCTCAAATGAGGAATGGACTCTTCGTCGTGCACAGGGGATCCCGTTCCAGCACCAGAAAGCACTGACTGTAGCGATCTCATTTGATCACTATTTAGATTTAACGACGAAAACGTGTGTTCAGGTTGGACCGCCGCCTATATGACACATATGTGTGGTGACCCTTTCACTCCCTCAGCCAAGTCACTTGAGAAACCCGTTGACGACGGGTCCTGACCAGATGACGCTTGACCTGATTCTAACAGTCTGACTATACATGCGCCAGCTGAGAGAGACCCTGAACGCGCCGCACTGACCCGAAGACGGTGGAGATACTTCGAAGCAATCAGTCAGACTCGCTCATCCTCCCCCAAACCACGTCCTCGCCACTCTGTCTCTCTCTCTCTCTCTCTCTCTCTCTGGTCCGGCAGAAAACAGTCCCACCCTTCAAATGCAAGACTCTGTCTATCCACGACTTTACACATTCAGGTTGAAAAAAGGATCATACACCTCCCGTCTCCCCCCCCCCCACGATCCGAAGATTGAGGCTGCCTGACACGAGGGAGCTGAGATAAATTATGGGCTCCAACGCTTGTACGGGAGAGCATTTCGCATTGACGGACGTTTTTTTGCTTCTTGCAATGCCACCTGAAGTTCCCCGTTCCACAAGAGGAAACTCGCGGCTGTCGAGAACTGCATCCAAGCCCTTGCTATGGAAGCAGTCATGAGACTCCAGCATGTGCATTTGTCCAAGCTTCGGGGTCGCTCTCCGGTATTGCAATGCGGACTGCACCCGATTTCTGTTCGATGATGGAATATACGCCTCGGTTCACGGCCAACTGAGCCAGATCATGACCACTAAAGACCGAATTACCGTGGATCTCACCATTGTGCATGGGTGTGACGAGCAGCATGCAGCAAGCAGCATCAAAGTACCCAATAATGTCAGAACTCAGTAGGCAACGGTGCCTTGTTCTGCCATCCAGGCCTTCGCCCAGGCATGCCGGGAAGATTCTCGTGCTTCCAAAGGAGGTGACACCACCATCTTTCAGCGCTCGTCGAGTCAAGGCCCAGGCAGAGAACAGGGTAAAATTTCATACGAGATGAAATCCGATTGAATGTGCCCTGGTATACAAAAAGAGGGTCGAATGCCTGCCCTGCCTCTCCACTCTCAGTATCATTGTCTGATGGCTGTTGATCCTCCTCCTCCTCCTCACTCAGTCCTTTCATCAACACCTTTCCAGCTCGGCAATCGACCCGTCCTCATCGACGGTGAATGCTGGCTTCCATGGTGTAGAGCTCATGGGGAGACCTTTGTTACCAGGACTCCGTTGGACAGCAGATGGTCGACTTTGGAAATGAATAGGTTGATCCGGTCGCTCGGTGAGTGCCCTTTCCCCGTCTGCTATCCATCCTCCTCCCATTTGTCCTTGTAGTCCCCGCCTCGGTTGATGTTGACATTCTTGACATTCATTCTCGCCGGGCCCCACTTGCATGAGAGGTTGAGTTCTCCTACAACTCCCTCCCTGAGGGGCGGGTCAAGTTTCAAACGCATCTCATCCCAGGAGTACGTACACCTGCACGGTCATCCCTCGTATGAACGTTTTTTCATTTCGTTCTCCATTCTCCACATCACTGAGTTGGGAACAGTCGATCATCTGCAAGACTGAGAGGTCATCACTTGTCGTCTCATGAAAATCGCTGCTCTCAGGCATCCTGGATATTTCCCCATCAGCTTCGTCAGGTATTTCAGCGGGTTTTGGGTCGATGCCGTAGCCCACGCGGTCAGACTACGGGCACCGATGGCACCCACATGTTTGAGGATGTTGTACGAGTCAGTGAACGTAAGAAGAGAAATCACGGCGAAGAGCATAGGCAGCGAAGTTACGGAGAGAGGGAAAATGGTCGCCGACTCGAGACCTCCGTCGGGACCTTTATCTTTCTTCATACCACAGCACCAGCGCAGTATGGACTTTCTTGCCACGGGTCCATCGTATGTTTGTTGAGAACCCACCCTCGGGCATAGGCTCAGGCTCAGGCTCAGGTCCAGGCCCATCCTCACCACGACCTCCAACAATGTCATGTTGGAAATTCTCGCTGCCATGACTATCATTCTGGCTCGTTTCGGATGGTCAAAGATGTTGAGTCGCGCGATCCCTACACGTGGTGTCGACGCAGACTCGGTAAACGGGCGACCCAGTGGTGCAAGACCGTCTTTTGGCGCTGCGGCCAGCTGCGCCGAGACGTTTGAAAGGCGGCCGAGACATGTTCGCTAATGGCTTTCGCCTTTGGCATTCGGCGGCGGCGGCACTGCTTTGAGCCAGCGTGGCGTCTCGTGTCTTTTTTTCGTTTCTGGCTTTGTTGGGTCTCAGCCGTCGGTCTGTTCATCTGGACGACGAGCAACAGTCTGATAGGCGGGGCCTCAGCTGAGACGAGCTATGACTGAAGGCTTCCTACCCCTCGGATTCGCACCATGGAGTTGGGCAGCCCGACATCGAGGCTGTCAATGAAGGAGAAGCAGAAGCACGCTGGGGGTGCTTTTAACGCTGAGAACGGTGCGCGCAGCTGAAAAGGTACAGATGGCCGCGGACTGGAACGTTCCCTCCTCCCACTCCTCGAGCACCTTGCGGAGAGCCTCAGGTTCCATTGACTCTTTCCGAGCACATACGGGAGTTCCTATGATCTCTTTCCCTCTCTCCTTTGTGCTAGGAGTATGTATGGCTGCGGTGGCCGTCACTTCCTCTCCCGGTGCGAATGGCTCTCACTCTTGATCAGTCAAAGTCCCACTAAAATGCACTCTCAATACCCCAGAATAAATAATAAAGCCAACGGTTTCGGTGCATCTTCATCGTACACAGCTGTCCCCTCGGAAGCTCTGCACATCGAGACTGCAGCTTTCGCTTGATGCGTTCTTCGCGGCTCGTTGAGATGAATATCGGATGGGGCGGGAGGCGGGAGGACTTGACACATACAGCAAGGACAAGCTTAATCTTGCCTGCTGCACATTTGGATTTGGCTACCAGATTCACTCCGGTCTTGTTGATCACCTGTAAATCGCCAGCCGTTGTCCCTGTCCCTGTCCCGTCCGTCCTGCCCTGACGATTAATTCAATGTTCAACCTCAACTTTGTTCTGGACCCGACCTCAATCCAGCCGGCAGCAGCATCGAATGAGAGTGAGATTGAGAACGTTTGATACATCGTAGCCGCACTCGCCCAGAGTTTCCTTCCACTCGACACAGTATCTTAGCGCAGCGCAGCGAACAGGTGGAGCGCCATGGTTTTTGAGGATGATTTCCGGGAACCTCTCCTCGGCGAAAACAGTATGCAATAAATACTTCCTTGAAAACAGTTCTCTTTCCATTCAAGACTCGTTATTTGATCCACGTGGACGTTATCTCGAGGCTTGCCCAAATCTTGTTGTTCAGGATCTGTATCCGCTCTCAAAGTTTCAACAAACACTAAAACCTCGTTGTGTAAGATTGCTGGGACCTGCGTCGATCACTGATGGTCTTTGACGGAAAGTATCCGCGGTCTGATCCGACACCATCAAGAGGTGCTGTGTATGTGGCGGATACAGCCATGCCATCACATCTGATCCGAGCCCGGTGCCGTACGGGCGTTCGAGGCAGGGGTCGCTTTACCGAGGACATTCTGGTGTTTGTCTGGCAGAGGGGGGTTTCCGTCTCGAAGTTGGAAAACGACAAATCGTCGTTAGCTGTGCTGGTAAGAGCCGCTGGAAAATGACCTGCTTTTCTGTTAGCCGGGTTGAGACGAGCCGCTGGACCTTTCTCCAGGCCACGATGGGATCGGAAGGTCGATCGATTTCTGGAACCACGCATTATCGGCGTGCACACCATGGTCGTAATGCCCAGGTGGGCGCGCCGCGCGCACATGGCATCCAGAATCTGGTGGTCTCGGAGCTGGATAAACGGTCGAGAACGAGTTTGAGACCCACTCGTCCGACGGTACTTGACGTCCACCAAAGAGGGAATGAACGTCATAGAAATCATGTAGATGCATCCATGGCCACCTGGGGATAGATCGACAGGGGGAGTTTTTCACCAGGGAGTGTTGCACGCGCGAAATTTATCACGGCTTGCGCCGCGTAGCCTGACACAGTAGGCTACCCCTCACGAGGCTGGGCACCCCGCACGAGGCTGAGCGCGCACACATCTTTCACGCCGAAGTAGTTAAAGTAGTTACACTAGTTTAGACCTCTTCGTCTCAGAATTCATGTCATAATTGCACCCTTAACAGCCATCTCTCCTGTCCAAGGTTGCGCCGTGATAAGATTCGGGTACAGCATGGGCCGGCGAGGAGTACGCGCGACTCTACTCGTGGGGGAAACGGTCCACTGATACAAGGCAAAATACAAGGACGCCAGTCCTTGCGACCCGATCGACCTCCCCCAGACACGCACCTGGAGCCGATCTCCTCATCCGCAAGGCGACGACGACCAGCGGCTTCATCTGCCGCTTCAACCGCGGAATTTGTCAGTTTTCGAGTACCACCGTGCGCGAGGGTACGTCTGCCCTCGATGTCCTGGTCAAGGATGTCGTCCTCAACCCCTGAGCCGGAGAACACGCTGTCGATTACGATGAGGGAAAGCATTCGGTTACGGTTTGATGAAGACGGATGATCCTGGCTTTTTGCCTTTCTTGCGTGGATGGGGGGTCTGTCTAAGAAGTGATACCGGAAAAAGAATATTTGACACAACAGAGCGTGGGTGAGTTGGGATGGATGCTGGAGGTAAGAGAGAGAGGCAGAAGAAACCCTCGAGGAGAAACTGCTCAAGGTCATCAAGAACCCTATCACGGACCCATTTACCACCCAACTTGTCGGAAGGGTCACTCTGGTCTGGGTTTCGATGCCCCGAGTCGTCCGCGTCCGCGACTGCGCCGATACCTCGGGTCCCAACGACAGCAATATGCGTCTTTGTCAAACATTTAAAGGGCGGGAACACGAAGTGACGAGGAAGGGGTCGGGAGGGGAGAATGAAAACTTTTGAAGTTACTAATCCTACCCCACCGGTTCATGGATCCATCGGGAACTCTCCGCCGAGGATTTCTTCGGACGTTGGCGGTAGATTGGAGCGGGCGCCCTTGAAGCGCAAAGTATATCTGGCATGCGCCATCCTTTGGCGCCAATGAACGACTAATTTGTCCGCTGAACCGTTGCAAGGTTCCGTTGGCGCCTTTTTCGATCTCTCTCTCTCTCTCTCTCACAAACACACACACACACACACACACACGAAGTACTCATATATGAGAGACGCAAAGAGGCAGAGGTACATTATCGTCAACGGATCATCGGTCCCACGACACGCGACCATCTCCGGCACAAGCACGGCCGCAGTGTGGAAGCTTTTGCAGGTTTCTTCATCTCCGCCGAATCCAAGACCTCTAAAAGGGTCGCCGACAAGGGGGTATGTATGTTTCAGTCTCGTAGTAGAAGTGGCCAAGTGGAGGCAGGCCGCTTCGACAGAATAGTGTAATGCGGGACACGGCAGCTCTGCGGGTTTGATTGGAAAACTAAAGCTTTCCCCATTTGAGAATCCAACTAAGGGCGAGCGTGAAGTTTATAGAGATGCTGTATCTTGACTGCGAGACTGAGACATTGAAGGTCTCTGTAGGGTAGTATATGCTGCATTATGAAGATCTCTGTCTCATCGTACCATCTCCATGGCTTGAAATCATGGACATTCGGAATATCTGGTCGACTGAAGACGCCGTTCGACAGCCTAAATGGTCCTGGAAGTGTCTAGCCACCGTCAAGGAATTCGATGGAAAGACCGCAATCGTCAAGAGTCGTGTCATGTCTGTAGTGAAAATGATCTTCCAGGACATTGTCTGATCTGTTTTCGACAAGTTCGATGATCCCGTTTCAATATAACTCTGGTCAAACTCCTTGATGGCCTGATTGCATGATTGAACGATTCGTTTTTGGATCAGGAGCTCATCACCAAGTCAATTCCACCACTCAGACCTGCGAGGAGAGCGAGAGCGAGATCCAAGAGCAGGGGAGGAGTTGTGCTGCTCCCTGGAGAGTCAATACATCTCGCCCAATACACAGCACGAAGGTAATTCCTGATGAGTGTTTGGGACCTGCGGGTGGTGCTCTGTGGCAGGACGAACGTGAGGCCCATTTCCGGTAGCCATCCATTAGCCATCCATGGCTTGTCGAATTCGTCGATACAGACCACGCCACCCCGTCTGCGAGGACCATGGCTCCCTCCACCTTCTCAGAAGGAGGAGGTGCAGGGGTGGAAAAGAAATGTCCAGATCTCGTCTTCGATGGCCTGCCTGTGGCGAACAGCCAGCAACACGGTGGTAGTTTACCGATACGGGGTATAAGACGAGAATGCCGGTCGGTGTGCATAAGGACGGATAGAACTGGTGGGAATAGGATCGATTAGTTGGCTGCTGTATATAGCCCTGACAATGGGCTCGAATCGAAGCCATTGTCTGCAACCATCTTGCCAGAGCCTTTGTTCGGTAAGTGTCTGGACCTCTGAGGCAATGCCGAATAATAAATAGCCAGGAGAGCGATGGTCTGTCACGGACCTGGGTTGTCAGAGCTGCTTCCTGTATGGCTCAATGGTGTTGAGTTTCCCACAGTCACAGACCCTTTTATTGCATGAGCTGGGCCGAGAGTACGCAAGGTATGAATATAGTCAAGTGACTTCAGAACAGCCATCGTGAAGTAGATGTCACGAGTTGGCTACCAGAGAGTGTAACTGTGGAAAGGCGGTGAGCGCAGCTATATAGTTGCGAGGCTGTCCCGAATAGGTAACTGAGGATGGTATGTTGGTATATTGGGTATGCCCCAGTCCGACATGTCATCAGGGTTCGTATTTTTCCTTTCCCGAAAGTCACGTGCCGCCACGTGACCCTATACCTGTTACCTGTGCTCATGCTCCCTGCCAAGCCGCCCTGCTCGGCAGACCTTCTCTTAGGCATCTCGCTCCGGGGTCGCATGTAAGGCCGTTTCTAACACTGGTCCCTTGGCACGTTGATCACGTGCCACTTGAGATCTTGTTCACAACAACAGAACCTCGACCTTTTCAGATAGTCCTTCGTACTGCAATTCAATCAACCAACACTTTTATCTCGGCATTTCGGCGGCCAGGACGGTCGTTAGGTTCGGCATGTAATGGTAAGAAACCCTTCCTCCGTTGGATGACGAAGACCACGTCATCCTCACCTCTTTCTGTATTCCGCACGGTGGCTCGGGTAAGTGGTTACTGGGACTTCACCATTTCGATACAGGAGGACTTTGCCAAGTCGTGGGCTCCAATGCTTACCCCATAGGAAACGGAAGAGGATCGAGGCGGAAAACAGCCAGGACAGGTCAGGAAGAGAATAAGAGAGAGAGAGAGAGAGAGACGATAGATAGATATAGATTGATAGATTCTAGATACTCTGCAGTAATCAAAAAGCTCGTGTGCATTTGCGCCTGGGTTCGCATAGCTGGGTTCGATAAATATATGGAAAGGGCGACTGTTCCGCCCGTAACCAAAGTCAAGTAAGTCCTCCTCCAATTTCCAAAATCCGTGCCACGGTTGATTCCAAGCCCCCCCTCCTCGCATGCAGACATGCGTCGTAGACCTCCCCAATGTCTGACGAAAGAATTAGCGGCCTTTGACGAGGACTCAGAGAGAACGGTCAAGTCACACGTCCATGGACGGAGTCCGTGCTGCCTTTGTCAGTGATTAAACCACATACCACCTGCCCAGACACAAAGTGTGTGGTGAAATCACCACATCAGGTCACCCGGAAGTTTGAGAGATATAGCAATAGAAAGAAGCATGCAACAACAATAGAAGCAAGAAATAACAATAGAAGCAGAGAAACGTAGACGAGAAAAATAGATAAAGAGAGGCTCGCCGTCCTGTGAGGGACAAATCATTCGCCGTCGCCGCCGGGGAATCTCTTTTCATCGAGGTGGACAGAGATGAAATGTGTCGCATCGTTGACCACTCCACAACAAGTTCCTGTCGGCAAATCGTTGTCCCGAGCCATGTTCGCCAACCTGAATTTCAGAAGCTTGAACGTCGATTTGACTTTTCCCACGATTTCTTCCAAGACCTCTGGATCCTGCACGCGGGAGAGCCTCGACAGCAAAGCATCAAACGCGGCCGGCCATTCACGCAAGAGTTCCTGTTCCACGTGTCTCCGGTCGTTCTGCAACCGTTTCAACGCCTTGTCGTCCAGGAGGGGGACAAAAGGTTCGAGAAGCCCAGGTATGTCCTCGTCGGGCAACAGGTTGTTCCGCAGTTCGTACGTGACGCTGACCATGGCTCCGACGAGGCTCCCAACCGAATTCGTGTTGATGCCGATCAAGACGCCACCCTCGATGGTGATTGTCCCGTGAATCGTGCCCGCGAGCATTAACAGAGCGTTCTCCATCGTGAGACGCAAAAGAATTCCACCCGAGAGTTTCGTCACCAGGTATCTAAAGGCTTCCCAAGGCTTCATCTTCTCGGTCTTGAGGAGAAACTCGATATTTTCGGCGCTGGCGGGCCAACAGGCGATCAACTTGGTGCAGTTTCCGAATACCGCGATGAGCCCGTCTCGATTGGTGTCGAGGTGAGGGCTGAAGACGCTGCCGGTCGGAGTGACATTACAGGCCATCGGATGATCCGCTGCGATCGGTCTGTATTTCGTGAATAGCTCCTTGGGGACTTTCATACGCTGCCCCGGAGCCAATTCGACGGGGATGTTGTGGAGGAAGCTTTGCGGTTTGGAGATATCCGGGTTCGTCATTGTGAAAAAGGTGGCGAGTGAATGGTCGTCGCCGCTGAATGAGCCATCATACCCCGAGTACTTCTCCGGTCTCGACTTGACCACTGTCCGTATTTGCTGCCAGAGTTTGTCCAGATTTGGAGACGCACCCCAGCATTGAGCCGGCCTCACAAACTGGGGCAGGCCAATGTTCGCCGCTCGCCAGATTTGGGCGCAATCTGGAGAAACATGGCCCAGGACCGACCACGATCGTTGAAGGATCGCCCTCTTCAGGTCAGTCTTGTCCCAGCCCACCAGACTTTTGGCAAAGGCATCGAGAATCTCAGCCGCAGGGTTCAAAAGGCTGCCCAGCTGTTGACGAGAGCCTTGGGCTTGCCAGGGGAGAAGCGGTGTCTGGCATTCTTCGCAGCGACATTGTCCCTTTGGAAAGTAGCTACTCCCGTAGCTCGCAGTAATCTCCTCCCCGGCGCGGATATCTCTGGTGGCTTCAATAACGACCCTCATCAGGCCAGAGACGCGCATCTGGCGAAAGCGAGTACAAGGCTTGCAGGAGTGGCTGACCAGCCTGAAAACGCCCCCCATCCTGGCGCTATTGAGCTGGCCGACGGTCGGTTCTGGATCTTCAGTGTCGGTGATGTCACCTCTCACAAGGATGAAAATGTAGTCTCCTGGTGGTGGAGTACCCTCTGGTTGGATTTCGCCGGTGAGCTGACCGAGTAGGGCCCCCTCTCGGTACGCCAATTGTCCATTGGGCCCATTCGCTTGGAGACCACGTCCTTTACCCGCGTAGGACTTGATCCGGGCTGTGGATCCTTGGATGGATTCGATGCAACGACAATCGCGTTCCGTACAGAGGTCACATTGGACACCGTCGGGATCGAGTGACATGGGGTTGGTTGGCCAGGGCAGCTCTTCGGGCCATCCAAGCGGCCTCTCCCAGTCGGGGTATTCAGATGCATCGTAGTGGTTTTCCTCGAGAGATGGAAATGGCTGTAGTCGCTCGAGCACATCCATGGTGACCTTGGTGTATGGCGGAAACGGTCGACCCTCAAAGCAGAACTCAACGTCCATCTTGTCACTGTCGAGAGACTCCTGGAATGCTTTTCCCGCGCGACAGATCAAGGCTGTCATGGCCTCTTGATCAAGCTGTGCGTGGAAGATTTTGATATCGTCCTCACTCATCTTTGAATAGTGTTGGGAATCGAAGATTGCAAATTCGTCGTCTGTCAGTCCTTGGTTCTGTCGGCTGCTCGCCCTAGCGAGTGGAATGAAGCACAGAAGGCCATCGTACTTCCCGCAGATTTCTTCCCAGTGCTTGCCACTGTTAAGATGCCGACGGTATTTGGAGTAAGACCATCCAAGAGTTTCCCAAATCCGTCCGATAACATTCGGGTCCAATCGAAGTCGACCGCTCAAGAGGTTGGCAACCGCTCTGGAGAGATACAGCTCATAGAGTCGCGTCAAGAATTGCTTGAGGTTTTTGTCACATTTGGCGTTGTCAATTCCTGTGAGACACCTCGAAATCTGCCCGGTAGGATCATCAGGATCCCCAATGACCAAATCAGAACATGGGTTCCTTCGGCTTCTGACCAGGCCTAGGAATTGTTCGATTGCCGGCTTGCTGAAGATAGCAGCGGCCAAGGACTCTGCAGGGATACCTTCCGGGGCAGAATCCTGGAGGGGTGCTGTTCTGGCTCTCTTCGCTGGCGGCCGAGAGGAATCGCATGCATGACGCTTCAGGCTTGGGGAATCTGCTCTTTGGGGAACTGGAGAAGGCCCATTGGTAGTGCCAGTGCCCCTGGGGCGGCCACTGCTCTCGCTAGAGTCGGCCGCGGGCAGAGGAGAGGGCGACAAGGCAGGTCCGATTGCGGGAGCTGTTGGAGAGCTTTCAAGTGGTAAGCCATCTGTAGTTGCGGGAGGTGCTTCAGAGCTTTCAAGTGGTAAGCCATCTGTAGCTGCGGGAGCTGTTGGAGAGCTCTCACGTGGTGAGCCAAGTATAATTGTAGAGGGCGTCGGAGATCTCTCAAGTGGTAAGCCAGCTGCAGTTGCGAGAGGTGTCGGAGAGCTCTCAAGCGGCAAGCCAGCTGCAGTTGCGGATGGTGTTGGACGTCTATCCAACAGGGGCAAGGTAGGTCCTGTCGCGGGAGGTGTCGGATAGCTATCCGACAACGGCAAGGCAGGGTCAGTTGCGAGAGGTGCTGGAGACCTCTCGAGTGGCGATGTAGGGACACACGGAGGTTCTGTCCTCGGTTGAACAGGGCCACAATCCGCTGCCATCTCGACGTCTCCATCCTGTGAGAGTATAGACGGACCGTCAGGCTGAGATTCGACATCCCTCTGCCCACATCCTTCAGCCTCTCGAGCTGCTAGAGCTAGTACTAGAGCTAGTACTAGAGCTAGTTCTGGAGCTGGAGCTGGAGCTGGTGGTGGTGGTGGTGGTGGTACTGAAGCTGGTACTGGAGCTGGAGCTGGTGGTCGTCGTGGTGGTCGTCGTCGTGGTGTTGGAGCTGGTACTGGAGGCGGAGCTGGTGGTGGTGGTACTGAAGCTGGAGCTGGTGGTGGTGGTACTGAAGCTGGAGCTGGTGGTGGTGGTACTGAAGCTGGAGCTGCTGGAGCTGGTGGTGGTGGTTGAGCTAGAGCTGGTGGTGGTGGTGGTGCTGCTGCTGGAGCTAGAGCTGGTGGTGGTGGTGGTGGTGGTGTAGGCGCAGGAGCTGGAGCTGGAGCTGGTGCTGCTGATGTCGTCGGCGCACATGGAGGAAGAGCCTCCGCCGGAGCAGGAGGTGGATTCGACGAAGACGAGGCCTCACCGCGGGCGTCCGAGGCGGCGTGTTCGCCTTGACTGGCCTTCAAGATGGTGATTTTGGCATCGAGAAGATCCCGAAATCGGCATAAATGGTCGACCGAGAGTACTTCAGACAAGCGGACAAGGAATTGCACGGTTTCTGCCTGCACGTCCATGGCGGACATGGTCATCGAAATGGTTCGAAAAGAGAGGAAAGGGGCCCGTCCGCCGGGGGGCTGATGCCACCTTTTTCTTTTGCCTCGATTTATGGTTTTGACGTGCCAAATTTGATCAAATGCACGGGGGTCTGCGCACGGGCCATAACGTTCAGCTCCGACAGTTAAGGGCCCGTGCGCAGCCGCCTGCATGTGTTAACAAGGCGTCATGATGATGACATGTGCGCAAAACCACGCCCGTACGCAGGACCGCCTGCTCTGACAGTCATGCATGACATGTGGGCAGATCAGACCGCCTGCTCCGACAATGATGGGCACGTGCGCAGCCCCCCGTCATTGATCGACCTTAGCGCTCAATAGTTCGCTCTCCCTTGCTTCTGTGGAGGTTGGGCGGGGCGTCATCCTTTGTTGCATCGGTTTCAGCTCGGTGGGGCCATTGAAGGCAATCCGCGGGGGGCTGAACGGGGGAGGGGGCGCTTGGTGGCCTTTTGCCCCGTGCACGTTTGGCCGGATGCCTCAGCCTGCCCTGTTGCCCCCCTGAAATGGTAGTCACTGACGCCTTGCAAGTTCACCACGGCTGTCAATTCCTCATACTGAGATCATACAGCAGGCGAGATTGATCATGAGAATGGGAACTCGCCTTTGAATCGGGTGAGACTGGTCCTCCGTGATGAGAACTTGTGATGAGAACTGTGATGGAGGAGAAGGCGCGGTTCTGGTGGACCAGCGCCAAGACGAACTCCACCTCTTGATTTGTTAAATTGGCCTGGAAAGTATATACATTTAGGTTACAGCCTGCTGGTTGGCTGAATTCTGCCAGGAAGGTTTTCGGTGAAGTTAAACCCTCCTGATTGGTTGAATGCGCCTGGAAAGTATACAGAGAAATTGAGGCCTCCTGACTGGTTGAATCTGCCTGGAAAAGTATTCAACTAAATTACGGCCTGCTAATTGGCCAAGACGCACGCGAAGGATTCAGAATCCCCACAACTGACAGCTGAGAGTTCTCCACCGTACGCAAGGGAGAGAAACAAAGGAAACAAAGGAAACAAAAGGTGAAAGGGAAACTTTCGCAACGGACGGATGACGTGGACAAAAGAGGGAGGTAAAAGGAGAGGAGTCAGACAATGGGCATCCCTTGCGGTGAGTGGAGCGTAGCGGTGGAGCGCTGTGAGGAGAGAGAGAGGGAGTGTTCGCCCTTCGTCCTCTCTCTCTCTCTCTCTCTGTCTCTCTCGCACGCGCGCCGCCCACCGAGGATCTCGGGCGAAGGAAGATTCACATGTCACCCACGAGGTGCACCGAGGGCCATGGAGAAAGGTTCACATGTCACCCAAAGGTTGCACGTGGGCCATGGAGAGAGCGTCTGCACCGGCTTGGGTGAGGAACTGACCAGACTCGTTTCCGATCTTTCCCCTTCGGTTGCAAGGGAATACACATTTCCGTGACAAAGAGGGACGTCTCAAGGGTAAAGTTCCCGCTCCAAAGGTGGACAGACAGCGAACGAGGGCGTGAATGAACGGGTGAAAGATGGAAAAGTTTCTACTCAAAGGTGGACAGACAGCGAGTAAGAACGAGGGCGTGAATGAACGGGTGAAAGATGGAAATGAACATCCACGGTCAGCCTTGAATCACATCACAGGATTGAAACGTGCCTAGCATACCACTACAAACTCAGTTCACTAATGAGATACCAAACTACCATTGCCATCGCCTTGGAACAAAAGAAACACGCTCCGATATTCCTTCATCGGTGATAATCAGCGGGTATGCATGTTGGCCGCTCATGTTTGGAACCATCGAGCCAGATGGAGGGGGGAGGAGTACCACTCGACATTGAGGCGTGCATACGTCTGGAACCTGTCTGTCTAGACACCCAAATGATGTCGAACGTCGGCGACAGAAGGCAGGACCACACCACCCGGATAGGATCGCCGACCGCTACCATACTCCTGCTTTTTGATCTTGAGCCTATCCCACTTGGGATCGTGACCGGCCAGGATCTTTGCCAGGAGTTCCCATGGAGGACCGTACTCCAAGAGGTCCGATGTACCGAAGAAGACGGCGTCATAGATATCCTTCCCTTGTTGATTTTGGTCGTCGAGCTTCTGCTGGAATGACTTGACCGTGTCGTCCAGCTTGTCGTCGTGGAGATAGACGGTCGTGATACTGAACTCGGTGTCACCCCCTCTCACTCTGTTCAATTCGGTCTTGACGTTGTTGTACCCGGTCTCGCTGATCCCGGTGGTGGTCACCACGATGAATTTGTGCTTGCTGACCGTCTCGGTGGCATCGACTACTCGTGCGGCGTGCTTCTGAATCTGCTGCTTGACCAATCCGACAAGAGCATAGCTGAGGCCGCTGACAATCAACGGCTGTCTCGCAACGAAGTCGGTGGCGGCATTGTATGTCTCCACGACCCTGTCGAAAGACCAATTCTTCACTTTCCACGGTTCTGACAATTCAGACCGCAATTTGCGTATGTCTGTCAGCATCTTCTGGTGGCGGTCTCCCATGGCCTCCCTCTCCATGATCGAGTCCAGACGATCATACAGGCCTTTGTCCTTGAGCCACCTGCTGAAGTTGTCTTTCTTCCGAATCTCGGCGATGACATCGCCCGCTTCTTCCTGCACAAAGAGTTTGCTCAATATGGTCGCGGCCTCCTGTTCCACGGCAGAAGCGGACCTCATTTCGGGCTTGTGGTAATCCATGAAGGTCAGCTGGACCGGTGCGCCAATCGCTTGGAGCAGGCACATAATAAGCCAGGTCATCATTTTGGTGGCATTCTGTTGCTTGGGGGTGGCTCGAGCGTTGTCATCGACGCAGAGGACCGTATTGAACGTTTTCAGGCTCGATAAATCGATCTGATCGTTGACGGCTTCATACATTTGAAGGATGTGAGCATGCATTGTCTCGGAGCTGTATTCCGGAGGCTGGCCGTCGGTGGAGGTGAGCGTGACATCGTTCCCATCCGACAGGACTGATCCTTGTGGCCCTTTTGACGACGATGGGATCGCTTTCTTCCCTTTCGCAATCCCATCCTGTGCGGGATGAGGCCGGGGGGCCGGATGATGCCGGGGGCTCTGATGCGGTCCCGCTTCAGCAGAAAAGCAATTGCCCATGGTGAGAGTCGCTCGAGACAAGAGGAACGCTGGAGAAGGGTGAGGTTGAAGTTCAGAGAGAAGGTCGAGGTTCAGTTACTGAATATCAGTAGAAGAACTTGATTGATTGTGAGGGGAGGACATCTATCAAGCTGCGCTGCGGCTGCGGATTTTGTTGTGTGCCCGTTATGGAAATTATTCGGCTAACCTACCTGAGGAGGGTTAGGGCAACACTGAAAGGGCTCAAATAGGCTCGCAAAAGCCATTCCTACCAAGGCCCTGACCCGAAGGCCAAACCGGCCATGACCGTGCGCCAGCGCCCCTCGTCGGGCATGCAACTGGCGCAGCCGGTCAATGTTTGTGCCTAAAGTGAGGCTGACCCCCAGTGAGACCGCCTTCTGCATTCGCAGCGACCCTTCTGTCAAGTGCTAGCGTCTCAACAGTTTGTTCTGCCGGGCGTACACGTCGGCCTCGTACTCACCGTGTTACGGGCGTCACGCTGCGACCATGTATGCGTTGTTCAGGGGAACGGTATACAGGGGCAAATAACGTGAGGCTGTACTTCCCATCTTTTTGAAAGTGAAACACGGCCATGTACGGTCGCGCCGGAAAGGCAAGGCAGTTGGGGCAAATTTGGAAAAGATGCAGGGATCAAGGCTGCCCAAGGAGTGATGAGGCTGGCAGTGCCGACTAGCGTTGCGGAACTAGGACAGGGGGGGGCTGATTCTAAATTAGATTAGTATGTGTTCCGCTTCCCCCAAGGTTTGTCCCACAATAGACTCGGGGAGGTAGCCTTTTGTGGTCCCGTAGTCACTGAGGCAACTTGTTCTGCCTGGACGGTCCATTCGTCTCGCCGTAGAAGTGCTTGAAGTATGCCTTCCTTTGATCTGGTGTAGAGGGCAGAAGTTCGTAGTATTTCACCTAGACGCCCATCCCGAATCAAGGCATCATCTAGCGTCTCCTTGTTATTTGTGGTTGCAATCGCGAGATGGTATGAAGAGCCCACCCCGTCAAGTGCGCTCAACAATCCACCAACAGTGACACCTTTGGATGGTTTGGAGACCTGGGCTTGATGGCACAAGAGATTGGAACGTTCTATGTCTTCCAGTAGGAGAATCGAGCCCCTGATCATTTGTTCCATCAAGTTGTTCAGTTTCATGTCCGTCAAGTCTGGTAGTGAGATGGGCATGATGTAAAGCTCTCATTTGGCCTCGAATTGCAATCCCAGAGCCACCCTTCTCTTCGCCCGCCATTCTGAACCGTAGGCTGTGAGTCGACCTTATGCTGCGACCGGCTTCTGCCCATAGACAACGAACCTTCTGAGGTCAACAACAGTGATGAAGCCACACGGGGGAATCTCACTTACCGTGGCCAATATGCATGAATTTCTCGGTTGCGGAGTTCCCGGCGAACGAGCGCCTCACTCACTTTGACCTCTTCTGGCGTCCACCCGAGGAATTCGGTGAATGGACGCATCGAGAATGCCTCAATGCCCATATCGACACTTTCCAAGTTGTATCTACCCAACTCTTTGAGAGAGCCATCCTTTGGCCATTCATTCTGCGGGACTTTGTATTCGATTCGGGCGATGCCATCGAACCTCACACGCCGAAGGATGTCTTCGTACTTTTGACCGAGCTCCAAAGACGGATCGCGGTCTGCTCTCTCGAGAGCTTCGCTCATGTGGTTGATCCATCCGTGAAGTGCACTGTCTGGCGGAATCGTCTCGTCATCAGACGTGGGAAGACAAACTCCATGGATTTCAAGCCATCCACCGGGCTGGAGCTGTCTGAAGGCTTTCTGGAAGAGAGCCTCTGGCGTTCGCAGACCACCAGGGGGCAGACGACAGAAGATGAAGTCATGAGGGTGAAAATTCCAGTCAAGGTTGTAGTCAAAATATTCGAATTTGCAGTTTGGCGGAACCAACGTGGGTTGGATTGGGCTAATATCAACACCGGTCACAACTGCCCCCGGGTGCTGGTCAGCTACTTGAATCGCCCAGATGCCAGTGCCCGTGCCGAGATCCAAGATTTTCTGTGGCTGCTCGATGGGTGCCATAAACATCTTTTCTCCCAACGTGAGCTTCCACACTGCGTTATCGAGATCGAGTCTCTCTTGCTCCGTCTCGTCGTTGGGGAAGAGGTACAGGGATCGGTCGTCGTCTGCGTAGTACCAGCGGCCGTTTTGGTATCGGTAATCTGTGGCAGCAGAGTCCAAAGTAGTTGTTGAGGAGTCCACTTCGTCTCCCAGGGCTGAATCTCGGGGGGACTATACTGACGTTAGCCAAAGCATTATAGCCAAAAACCTGTGGATAACCATACCTGTAGTCCTCCGTCCTCAATCGGCTCGGGGATTGTCGTCATGCTTCTATCAGCAAGTATGATGGGGTTGTGCAAGAGATGGTCGCCGAACCTGCTCAGCCAGTAGACGAGAACGAAGGATGGTTGTAGAAAAAACTGCAAAGGCGAGGCAGGCAGTAGTACTCTCAAGGACCACAGAACGCAGAAGATCAAGATCGCAGTCCCATTCGTAGAAACCCATCGGATCTGATACCGGCGGCAAGGATCGACCCGGGTCGCACTAACCCTATTGGGAAGTTTAGCCGAACAGTTTCCACCACGGCACACCACCAATCCGCAGGCTCGCTAGATCAATTTCCTTACAAATCAATCGATCAACCAGCCAATCGATCGATCAATCAACCAATCAAGTTATTCCACTTACAACCCTGTGGGATCTTTGAGCCTTCTGTCATTAATGACAACGTTGTCACCGAGTTTCTCTCTGATGAGCGTTGTCTTTGAGGCGGGATTTACGCTGAATATCGAGTTGACACCACAAGAGTCAGAACAAGAGTGGGAGCAATCAATATAAGATATAACGGGCACGCCCGAGTATCATTGCTGAAACCGACCCCACAGAAGACTATTGATGCGATCTGGATGTCCCATGCATGTGCAGAGCGCCACCGAAAGAGGGTTTTCACCATCGGCTCAGAGCTAGCTTGCCGGAAAGAACCGACAAAAGCTACTGACTAGTTGCTTCTTCTTCGTGGTTCTGCGATGGCGGGAGGCGTCCGGGTAATGGATCGGACGGGTGATCGACGCAAACTTTAGCGGGAGGGTTGGAGAAGCGACAGCGTTTGCGCTACCGTTGGTGGACTGAATTGGCATGCAGAACGCGGAAAGCTTGTCTACACCGTGAGGCAGTCGAAATGGGGAGGATGCAGAAGGAGTTATCGCGGGCAGGGCCACAGTAGATGTGCTCCTACATATATACGAGGGACGGGTGTCAATAGTGCACAGATAATTCGATCGGATCAGCCACGACGATCGTGCGAATTGCAACAGTTGGGCAATTCTCTCAAATGTCTGCTCCGTGGGTCTGCAGCCCGGCCCTGTCGCCAGAGAGCGGTCTCACTGGGTGGAGAGAAGACAAGCTGAGCGAGCTATTCAGGCGACCGGGGACGGATGCCGAGGGCAGATGTCGCAAAGCGAGCGTCATGGCAGCAGATGGAGAGAGGGTGGGATTCCAACAGACGTAAATAGCTATCCACGCAGCAGATATTATGGAGTAGTCAGTCATCCAAGACCTGAGCCCTGAGCCCCAGGCTTGGATCGATCGTATCTCATAAGGCGTCCCCGAAGTGCAGCCCAGAATTGTCAGCTTGACCTCGCGTTGGATGTTCTCATTCGCCACGTCGAATCCTCGACCGATGAATCCAGTGCCGGCGTACGTGGAAGTTAACGTCAGTGCTTCGTACGATCGTCTCTCCTTCAATAGTAAAAGGATTCGAGATATCTGTAGTCTCCGTCGCGAATATCGGGAGGCGGCGCTTCTTTTTCGTCGGTGTCGTCGCGACGATATCTTCACGGTCGTCGGGATCAACGAGGCCGCAGAGTTTGATGCCGCCGCTCAGATTGAGCGGTGTGGTCGACATAGCATCAAAGGACGAGGCCAAGATGTGGGCGAAGCGTGAGTGAGTGGAAATCAAGGAACGGACGAAAATGAGTTCCAGGTATAATGTCTCGGACTCATCGTTGTCGGGTGAGGGCCACCAGGTAAAGAAGCCACCATTTCGGCTGCCTCCCGATTGAAGGGATGTCATTCTCTTTGTCAATCCGACGCCAGTGCTTTGTTCCACCCACATTCCACAAATCCGGGAAGCCGGTCATCGATATCGTCATTGACATGAATGCGTACGCAGCCGGAAACACTCCCAGTGGGCGCATCAATATTGCTCGTCGCGATGTCCAAAGCGACTTGTACAGCCTCGGTGGATGATTGAGACGAAGCATCGGAAAAAGTGCGCAGTGCATGTCCAAGTAGACGCGGCGTCCACTCGAAGGTGGCGAGGATGAAAGCTCCCACTTGAAAGGTTTCCTCACCGACTGTCCAGCGCCTCAAGGGCCAGACTGCCCTCGACATGTCTCCACCTCGTGTTCAGGACAGGCGACAAGTCCCAAAGGCCCCTTCAGATTGAATAACATTGTGGACTTTGCATCACAGAAAAGCGAACGATGGAGGCCAGGGTGCCGCGAGGTGCCCTCCCCTGTGTGCACGCATGTGAATCGAGATCCCCAGGACTCTCCACACGACAGGGCACTCCGGCCACCATAAACAACACAGGAGCCCGTAGATTGATGTCCAGATAATACCAAACTCCTGGCGCGTGGCGTTGGGTGAGCGCCGATATGCCTCTGGATTGAAACAGTCAGCCACAGGGCTCCTGATCGACTATTATCAAAGCCTGAAGTGAAAATATGACCGGTCCGGGGCAAGCAAGACCGGGATACGAGCCCTCATACAAGCGTTGTAGCGGCCTGGGGGTCTGGAGATCGGACAACCAGTGCCTGATGGGCATCGACCAAGTTATCGGCAAGACCTCCGCTTCTTCTGTTGCTGTGGACGCCCTGGCGTCGACTGCCGAGGCGACGAGCCTGATGCTTTTTCGTACGGTCCGCACCCTCACCGAAGTCCAAGCTCAACGTGTACGTACCCGAAGCGTATGCACAACGCATTGCTTGATTTTTCGGGGCAACATCTCTCTTCCTGCTTGGCCTGACAATGTTGAGGTGTCCCCTGTCGACCCTCGGAGGGACTCGCCCAATGGGGACCGAGTTCATGTCTGAGGACGACGAGAGCGAGTGATAAGATGTTCTGCGAGTGTTGTAGGTGCGTTGTGGGTGTTTTGACCTCTCGATACCCTGAATTCTTCCATTCCTTTGGATGCATGCGTGATGTGCTCTGCTGGTTCCCATGTGTCGCCTTCTTCGCGTAGCCTTTCCAGAGACACTCATGAACAGTAATGCACCGCGAGTAGCACGGGCCGCATAGGGGTGCGCGAAAAATGAGCTTGTTCTTCATATGTTCCATGAGACTCGTCATCATCGTCGTCCTCGCTGCCATTAGCCACAAGATTATTGGACATAATGGTTGGCGCCGACCTCGACGCGGGACTGGTGTTCAACCCCATGACCACGTCGCTGTACTGTGATGGACACGTAAGGACAAGCTTCTACGACAACTCGGAGCTGTCGGAGCTGTCGGTGATCAGCGCCATGAACATCAGGTACCCTGGGTAGCCACCAGTACCTGCGGGGTCAAGTCCCTCAAGGTGACCAAGGTGGTGGAGGCGGACAGGAACGAGGGTCTGGAAGAAGCATGGGCATGACGACGAGGCCAAGTCCGACGACGAGTCTGTTGACATGACAGCCATGAATGAGAAAGTAAATGCCGAAAAAGAAACCGTGAGTGTCCAGTTTCCCGCCGGTGGCTCCGTAAATGAGTCGTTTTCTTTTCCACAGAATTGGGCATGTGCGGCCTCGAACAAGTCTCCATGGACACTTGCAGCTCATCAGTCCTAATCGACTTGACAAGCTTTGCTACTGATTCCGGAGTCTCCCTGTTGTCGTCGGTCCAACTTCGTCGCTCGTGCGTCGTGTTCGTAGGACCATGATATGACCCGCATGGAAATGCCTGAGAACGACAAGCGGCCGAGGGAAAGTGTTTGAGTTGTGTCAAAAAGACTTTTGGGTAAGCAAAGCTGCATGCAGCCTGAGACCAATCCCATGGCCCCAGGTGAGCCAAACGCGAAACGACTCGGTTCCAGAAGCTGAATGGTGTCCAACAATGGCAGCGGGTCAATGCCACCTAACAGCAATCATGCAGCCATGGATGAAGGTGGAGGGATCAAGCCTCCTCGGTTGGCCTTCTCGCTCGAACCCAAGCCAGGTTGGAACGCGGGAATGGGCAAAACAAGGACTCTGTCTCCAGGGTGCGTAAGTGACGGCGTGTCTTTTCTGTTGACCCAGACCGAGTCGCTTGGCGCACAAATCCAAGGAGATTCTGCAAATTCGGGTCCCGTCAGAGGTTGGATCCAAGTCATGCATTGAGAAGCTGCTGTGCCGTGTCTGGAGGCCCAAAGGTGGTATACTTTCTGCGTCCACGGCACCGCGTTTCACATGAATGTTAGCACGGCCGAACGCGTGCGCCCGATATCGGCCACGGCTAGCAATCCTCTGAGATTGGGAACCTCTGGTCCGGTAAAAAAGGCAGATGATCCATCGACATCCACTTGATCTTGAAGGGCTTCCCAAATGGCTAAAGACAGGAAGGAAATATAAGTAGCAACATGGGAAGGGGGAGCATTGTATATTTCCGTCGTCAAACGGAGCGGGACCAATAAACCCACCTTTGTGGTAGGAGCTGTCTTGGTGTCGGCGCCGACTGAACCCATTTGGTTGTGGCGTCGAGTTTCGAGTCGACAGTCTTGAGCCGGAGTCTAGAGACGAGAAGTCTAGGGCTGCCGAGGATCGATCTGTGTTCGACGACTCGGTCCTGGTGACTGAGGCAGCCCCAATGTCTCCATTTCAGCAGATGCTGCAAAGGCCTACCATTGCGGTTGAAAAGTGCACAACTCACAACTCACAAATCAAATCCATCGTGTCGGCTCTGCCGTCTCAGATGGAAGGAATTGTAACAGTCGGGACCGTCAAACCTGAACGGCTCATGCCCGTCACCATCAATGCCAGCGACGCAACGGCAACAGCGCAGGAGACCACGGGCCTGACGTCTGTGAGAAGCCCGATAGTTCGAGATGCCGTCAACACCAGTCCCGCGTCGAGGTCACCGCCAATTTGGTCACCAGGCCCTGTCTCTCCGGCGATGCAGCATCTCGGCGGCGGCGGCGTGCAAATCACCACGCGCACCGACCTCTCGCTCCTGTACTCTGGAGGTGGTACAGGTCGGTCGTCTCACATAACAAGTAGACGTGTCGAAGAATTCGTCGACCCTGGGCATTTCCAAATTAGAAACGAGTTCATTCGCCATCGAGGTGGAATTGTGCCAAATTCTTACCGTTCGGTCTTCAGAACAGCTCGCCAACAAGCGGCAGTGGTCCGCGAATTCGCCCAGAGATTCCTACCCTTCCCATTCGTATGCCACTGGCACTCTTGTGTCTGCATTCTGGCGCCTAACGTCGTCGGCCATCATCGTGTAAAGAACTCGTCGTTGTATTTGGCCTTGCCCGGAGCGGTCACCCAGTCAAGGACGCCACGGCCACTACCGACAGCTCCTTGGGTGCGTGCGATCGCTGATACCCTTTCCATATTTCTCAGTCTGGACGGCGACGGTCTGCAGAGCTGGTTTCAGCTGGCGGTCTGGTTCCCTAGTTGGTTGAAATGCTCCGTCGTGCTTGGGGTTGTGGCGCCCAAACGCTCTGCCGATCGTGTTTTTGAGAATTCGCATTCTTGGACTGACTTCTGGATCCTGAGACGAAATTCCGCGCGATGATCCGGTTGGTTCCCTCGCTTGAGTTGCGGACGAGAAAATCGTGGGTTTGACTGCTCACAGGATGCCACCTTTTCAATTTTGTCAATTTAAGGTTAGCGTGCCAAGACAAATCAATGCACGCGGCCTCCGCACGTGCCATAACATTCAGCTTCGACACTTAAGGGCCCGTGCGCGACGGCGTTCATTAGTATGCCTTGGCACGCTAGCCTTAAATTGACAAAATTGAAAAGGTGGCAACAACCATCTTCCTCTCTTTTCGAACGCTTTCCAACCAGAACACCCGGACAAGAAGTGATAGCCCAGTCCCTGGGCGGAGCAGAAGGATGGACACCTTCTCCCATTATCAAGATCAACGGGGACTGAGGTGGTGTCTTAGCTGAGTGAACAGGCTTTCAACGGCACCTTGACCCATCAGAACTTTGGACGCTTTGTTCTTGAGAGTTACCGAACCAGTCACCGAAGCAGCGGTATGTGCTTCCGGCACCTTGAACTTCGACCGATCGCTCGAAATCAAGAAAAAGCCCGCCAATTACCCCAATTCGGGTCGACATGATCTATGCGTTGACCTGTCCATCGAGCATACCGGTTGTCATTTTGGTGTTTTTCTGAGACTCTCGATTTCGCCGTGCCAGGCCGCAACAGCAGTGACCGCCCCGAATGCCGATTCCTTCTCCGACCGCGCCTGAGCCTCCAAGGCAAGCACATGGGAAGGTCGCAGGCCGACAAAAGAAGAGTTTGAGCGCCGAGTCAATGGTCCACCTGGGCATTGAGTCACCTCGAACGATCCATCTCGCCACGACCGTAGTTGTACAAGTACTTGTATGCATGACGGGATGAGACATAATTGCTTCATGTTTTCTCCCCTTTCATTTCCTCGCCTTTCATGCTCTACTTACCCAGATCGGTCCACGAATCACCCCGACCGATTGGCACTGTGACATGACATCTTTCTAGGATAATACTTCGAGACAAGAGCGTGTTTGCCGAGTTCTCTATTGTTCAGATACAAGTTTGCGCCTGTCTACTCAATTCATTGGGGACTTGAGACTCTCACCCCGCAGCCACCAATGCACCTTCCACACCTGCCAGCACCTGCGATTCCCTTGTGGTTGTCAAATTTCTTCTCGTGCAAGTCCCCGCAACACGAGTTGCAACAACTCAACCAACCCACTCTCAATAACCAACCAAGACAGCTCCTTATTATTTAAGTACCGCAAGCTCACCGCCCGTGGGAAGCTTCCTTCTCTCACGCTTTGAGTCTTAGCTAAGATATACTATCAAGGAATACCTATACCTACCTGTTACCTATCGCTGCCCTCTACCTATCTACACAGGCCGTTCCTGACACGGCGGAGGCAATTGTTACAACTTGCGCGTATGTTCCTCCTACAGTCATTCTGCTTCTCGCTGTCATTCTAATCCGTCCCAGTCACATCTTTTGCATACCCTGCGCTGAAAAGACTGGCTTGTCGACAGCACCCCGGAATCAGCGTCGATGTCCTGTTTGCAAGACCGCCCTACCAAACGCCCACGTATCACAAACAGAGTAGGAAGCTGAAGTAAACGGCACGAGAGGAGCGTGACACTCAGGGAGGAGAAGCATACTCCTACGCGGCCTTCAGCAAAAGAGGGTGAAAGACCACTTGGGAAGATACCGAGCCGGATAGGCCTAAACTACTTTAGGCCACTTACACACTAAAGGAGAAAAGTATGTTCCTCGCACCCGAGACGCATCCTTCTCTCATGCTTCAAGTTTTGTCATTACTATACGTGAAGGGGTACTTATTACTACGGAATCGATCTATCGCTGAGTACTGCCTATCTCTAATAAGGCATTCCAGATAAGACCGCCCTACCAAAAGCCCACGATGCAGTCCGCAATCTGCCAAATCCACCCGAAGACTTCAAGACCAGCGTCCTTTGTGGCTTCGACCCCGCAACCATCATGGAGTGTGGCCAGACGGCACTTTCTTTCTGGACATACCAAAAGGCTTAGGAACTGTGAGGTTTAATGCTTCCTCTGCCAAGTGACCTTGCTGACGAGAGTGACAGTGCATATCAGCAACACATTACTAGAAACCTGACGCACAGGCTCCACCAACTCAATGCAGAGGTTGAAAGGACAGAGATTGAAAGGACAGTGAATGATGGCAATTCTCCAATATACAAGTGGAAACCTTGAAGAGATGGATACTGGACCTCGAGGCACAAGGACACCCACTCAGCTATTCTTGTGTTCAAAAGCTCGCAGGAGTAATTAGCAGCGATAACGGCGGCTCTGAACGCGTCGGACATAACTAGCTAATTACCACGGTTATCCAGCGACATCCTGACCCTAAATTTCTGGATTCAGCGTGTCAACTTGTACCCTTCCTGTGGCGCTTAAGGCGTGGTTTAGCAATCTACAGGCTGTCTTTGAGCGCTATTCTATTATCGCCACCCCTGGACAAACTCCTGGAGAGGTGCAACAAGAATGGACCTGATCCGCGTAGAGGAAGGCACCCAGAGCGCACTGCGGCGCTGCGGTCGAGATGACTCCTCGAGAAAAAGGAAAAGGGATCCAGAACGAAAAGTTTCCCATAGTACACTGGAAGGAAGTACAAGTGCCGCCTACACCTCTGATGCCCACAAAGACTGAGGCGTCCTCAGCACCCCTCGACTCTGCACCATAACGAAAGTTGTCATCAATCCGGGGCGGGTATCAATGTCATTTGAGTTCCAAGGACCCAAAGGGAACGCGACGGGATCATCGTCCAGAGTAGATGATGGTCGCGCACACGCCGAGGACGATGGTGTCGAACCAGCCATTTGCTGTCCACGGACAAGCTGACAGAGGAGGAAGAAGCACAATCGGAAGATTTTCTAACACCCAATAGTGTCGACATCAACGTGCAAGGGCTGATGAAAGTCACATGTACATATGTGTTTGTGTTTTCTGTATGTGTTTTTTCCGTCTTTAGTGCGAGACATGAAAACCTAGAAGAATTTCATGATCAGATTGGATCGAATTCACCGTGGCAAGCTGTGTCCTCCATCTCCATATCTGCTACTCCATGACCCATTCTAGCGTCGTGATATTGCCCTCACATGTTGCGGCACCTCGACATCACACCAACATGGCTTCTCAGAAGACGGTAACAAAGCTGATCCACGGCCTGGCAACAAGGACGAGGGCAGCACCCACACAACCTTTCTCGAGAATTCCTTGCTTGGACTGGTCTAGACCGTTCCTGGAAGCATACCGTCATCAACGTCAGGAGATGTCCTTCAGTGAAAGATCCAAGCTCGAGGTGGTCAAGACGGCCCAGACCACTGTTCAATGTCCTGGAAGTGGCTGCGCCCGTCCAAGATATTCATTGTTTTCGCGGTGTGCTGGTCTGTCTTCACTGTCAGTACGTCAAGGCGGCTGAATTTCAAGGCGCCTCAACAAGCCAGCGGCTCACGTCCCCAAGATTGGGTGGACTGGATTCAGGCTTTTGCGTTGTGTCTCCGGTATGGGAGGCACAAGGACGGAGAGCGCCATCATCACCGTCCTGTTTTCCGCGAAGACTCCCAGCGCGGTAACAACTCTGTTCCCTCACCGACTACGGCACGTTGGCGAGAGAAGTACGTCTTGGTAGTACCTGTCTCCTGTCTAACTCAAATTGATGATTGCTCGCTGCTTTCATGCACCGCGCGCGCTCTTTGCCAGATCTCGGGGATGAGGTGCCGGCAGAAAGGGTGGAAAAGGGTGCTCGTTACTCTGTCTTCTCAATTCCACTTATGCAACTTATGTACTTGATTCTTTCCTGCTCTGCATGTCCTTCGGGTATTTGGCCACCACTGCCGAACCGAACATATGATTTGGAGCGGCTGCAAATCTGTGAAGCGCAGCAAGTGCTCGGCGGGGCGGGATACAACAAGACAGGGCGACGAAGGATTCCCGCATGCATCCAACCAGTCGCCGCTGGAGCTATTTCCGATCCATCAATTCACGCTACAGGAAAGCACAGATCCCGTGCTATTGAGGAAGCAAGCGGACTTGATGGACGAAGGCCGTGGCGAGAGGATCTAACGTACGACCGTCCTATTCTGACTTGTATGGATGGCGTTCTCGGTGTGGGCACTTTTCCCACGCCCGGCACTTGCACTTGCACTTGTACTTGTACTTGTTCTTGTGCAGTTTGGGACCTGACGTGGACCAGTCTGCATACGACAAGAGAGGAAACCTCATTCGCGGCAGACCGAGAGGCACTGGGAGCATTCGAGCCACTACACACATCCTGAAGCGAACATTCTCGGTGGGGATGGTGCAGTTGGATACCTCAAGCTTTGCAGAGACTATGAACACAACCAGATCCGCTAATCGACCCGATCCACGGGTTCAAACAAGGTGATAGCTCATTCTTCGTACGGCTAGAGAAATTTCTGTTTCATGACCGGAATCTCGACGCCTTCCTCTCTCTCTCCCGTCCTGCATGATCTCGCGCCCGGCTCAACGGCGGCTCCGGCCTCCCTGCTTACCACACCGTGACGGTGGCCCAAATATCGTCCCTACTCTGTTGAACAAGGACCCAAAACTAGGCTCTAGGGGGCGTTCCCTGGAAGTGCACCACCGCACGTTGCCTCAAGCCCTTCGAGCGACAAGCCCTTCCTCCGAAAATCAGTCGGGATTGATGGACTGACCAGACAGCGATGTCTTCATATATCAGGCGATTTAACATTCAGATCTCGAAGCCTCTTCTCAGCGTCGCGCTGCTCCTGAAGCGCCGTGTTGTTCTTCACGATCGCTTGTTGAAGAATCTCAGTCGCTTGAGGGGTGTCAAACCCGGACAGGGCGTGAGTCCAGATCCTGGCGCTCCACTGAGCCTCGAGAGCAGCTTTGCGCTTTATGCACCAGTCAAGAAGCGCTTCCACCATTTCGATCTTCTTTACTAGAATTGGATCAGATACATTCACTCACACCTTGGAAACCCGGCGTGGGGCATTCATACATACCTTCGGTGCCCGCCATAGTGTTACAATGTATCTCGGATGGATCAGATTGCCTTGAAAAAATGTCTTGGAAACTATTCAAAAGATTGTATGGTAATGATGTGCTTTCAAGATCCTGGGAGAAAGAGAGGGAAGAGGCCCGTTGGAGGAGGGGGGGGAAGGGCCTCGTGAGTGTGGGAGGGGGGCGTTGTTGCCTGGAGGAGATGCCCCTCATTTGTGTAACAACAGATTCCGAAGTCGGTGCCACCCACTTCTCACGGCGCCCTGTTCAACCACTCGCTTGACACCTGGTGCTCCATTCCAGTCTGTCCCCTCTCAAGAGTGCCTCATTGTCCTCACCCACAGATACAGACATGGACAGACGCTGGTAAACTACCCAACTACATGAGTGACCATCCAGCTTGACCTTGACCTGTGATAGGCATAATAGACGGCGGCGATCCTCCAAGGAAACCTACCAATCGTGGGACTACGGCCCTTGGACACCGACGAAGCCAGTCCCTCCAGCACGATCCCGATCCCCATCACGAGCCGAAATCGTGCCTCAATCTCTGCCACTTCTGCGCGCCGACGTCGCGGCGTTCGAGCAAACGCGGTCGGGCTGCTTCTGTGATCTCCTCGAACATCTCAGGCGATGAGGATCCCTGTCGCACCACAGAAGAGGAGGGCGAAGATAAAGCTCATCTTCGAGTGGCCTCGCGCGTTTGGATGTCCCTATTCGAAACGAGATCCTACACGTCGCAGGGCCTTGCCTGCGATACGAATCCATGAGCCAAAGAGCGCTCCACAGGCACTTGCAGAGGTCACACATAACGTCCGGATTACTCCTGTTCAAATCTGTGGGACGATGTTTTTTCCAATGCAAGTGTTCGAGATGGCCATCGTCGTACGCGGCAATGCACCATCAAAAGACCTGCCTCCAGAACTCGATGGTATGAGAGGAGAGAGGAAGCCCAGTCGCTGGAGAAAATCCTGCAGGGCAAAGAAAGATACTGGACAAGTTCTGACAGAAGAGAAATTGATTCAAGGTGTGTATCAGGCGCTTTTCCCGCGGGGCGATTGCACCGACCTCGGCACGTCCAACTCGGCGCGAGATCGAGATTGGCACCCCTAGAATGCGTTGCGGCGGATTTGCAGGAAGAACAAACGGTGCGGGAACGAAGTGGCAATGAGCTCAAGATGACGAACGACCGGTTTGAGATGCAGGTTCTTCTTTCTGACGAAATACCCATTGGAGCGGCGGCGGCAATCGAGAACGACGACGGAGACATACAGTCATGAAGCACACGAACGAGGGAAATGGTTAATGGCGCATGAAGACAAAACAGGAGCGTTAAAGAGCCGGATCTGTTTGTGGATCTGCTGAATAGGTGGGTGTTTTGGATTTGCGGCCGGAGAAGCGCGTCTCGTCCGACCGACGATGCGTTGAAGCATCCTTCGAAAGCATCTCGAGGGGAAAGGCATGAGTGAGTGGGATAGATACGGAATACGTGGGCAGAGCATGCGTACTATCGGATAACATGGCGGCGTTGCGGCTCACCTTGCGCTCTGTCTGAGTGAGTGCAGGGCAGGGCAGCCTTGCTGGAGCCTTGTCCGGGCTGTGCACTAGTAGCTGATTCCCCCAATAGTACTTAAGGTTGAGATGACAGATTCACCTGAGTTCATGAAGCCTTTGACGATTTCCTTCATCGGGGTAGCATGGTCAGGTCGATGTGCCAGAACGATGTCTACATATGATATGGCTGTTGGAGACGCTCCAGGGAGACCAGGAGAACATGTACAATGAAAATGATGTACACCCAGGAGACACCCGGGGGTACTGTACAATGAAAATGATGTACACCTAGGAGACCACCTCGCTCAATGAGTTCGGTTGATTTTGAGAGGAAGGGACCCGTCCGGACTCCGTAATTGCGGCGTGGGTTGCTATCGTGCCGTGATGTGTTGTGCGCAGTGTTCGGGGACCGCGCACACGGTTCACGGCAGGTGAAGGTTGAACTGAAGTTGAGGGTTGAGGCCGTAGTTGATGAGTGCTTCTAGTCATGTCCATGTCGCTGTAATACTGCATCATCTAATCCCGACGCGCGCGCTAGGTTGTTCAGACCTGAATTGATTGCTCTGTCCTGCAATATTTAAGGATGGGGAGATGAAATAACTGCGTCCACCATCACCTCCGCCGCCTGGTGCGGCATGAATCGCAAAGTCGGCGTGCTGGGTGCGATCATCGTGGGAGAGGATTGGTGTCCTCCCAGTATCTAACCCATCGTCATTGTATATTGTCATCCCAGGGGGCACTCATTATACAATGGGGGTGGTGGCGGCCAGAACTCGTCCGTGAGTGTTGCCTTTGAGTACGGCAGGAACACAAACGGCGTTTATTCTGACGCGGAGATCGTTCTAGAGATTGTCTGTGTAAACGTTTGGGAGATTGTTGACTCGATGAAAGCTCGCAGGATGAGACTGAAGAGTTGTGAGAATTGACGGTCGATTCGACATTTTCGGTTGGAGGGAGGGGGTTATATCTCCGGGATCGGAGTCTCGGTGTTGGCATCACACAATCTAGAGAATCGAGGTCATCGTATGCACTGTTTATAAACGCACGCGTATCGAGAGGAGTTGCAATCTCCCTTCTTCTTTGGCACCGGTGCAGGAGAACCAGATGGACGAGGCCTCTCGCGGAAACATGGGGTCGAAGGTCTCGAGTATCTCCTGGGTGTACACCGTCCCCATCGTACAGTGCCCGTTAGGTGTGTACCAACCCCGTCGTATGGTGTCTCCCGGGCGTCTCCTTGGTGTACATCACCCCATCGTACAGTGGCCCCTAGGTATACGCCACCCGCATCGTAGTGTCTCTTGGGATGATCGAACGGTATCGGGTTTGAAGGAGGTGATGTCCTCCTCGAAGGTGATAGGGACACCCGCCAAAACTTTAACTAATGTCCCAGTGCACGCCCATCCCAATCATTCCGTCCCATATTCCATACAAATAAGCCGTAAGGCTGGGCCTCCTGCGAACCTCTTCATCTTAGTCCATGCTCATGATATTTCGAGCGTGAAAGACGCCCTTTGTGTGTGAGCTTACTGTCTCCTAGGTGTACACTCCTCCACCGTACAGCCCCCCTCGTAGTGTCTCTTGGATGTACACCGCCCCCATCGTAGTGTCTCCTGGGCGTACATCATTTTGATGATGAAATGCCTCCATCAACGCCACTGCTGGGACTCAGGAGGGAGCGAGGAGAGGGGGCGGTTTCGGCGGTGTGCCGGGCGGTTTGGGTACCCTCTCCGCTTGGGAGAAGACGCGGCACGGAGATGGCGCTGTTGCCTACCAAAAAAACCTGCTCAAGATATTCAATCAACCAATCACTTACACAACTCACTTTGTCATGGGGTTGAACGCAGGAGAAGGCTCAGTTCGGGTGCAACCAGCGCCGAGACTGACGCTTCCTCCTGATTGCTTGAGTTTACTTGTATGACAATGCACAGGCAGAATGCGGCTTCCTGGTTGGACGAGACAGACAGTGTCAGTGATGCAGGAGCCTGACAACTGACACACTGTACGTAAGGGAAAGGTAAAGAGGTAGTACAAGGCGCAAGGACAACACACGAAAGGACTGAATGACGTGTACGAAAGAGGAAGGTAAAGGGAGAAAGGGTAGGACACTGGGCACGCCTTGTAGAGGAGCGTTACGATATAAAGAGAAAGAGAAAGAGAGGGAGTTTTCTTCCTTCTTCCCTCTCTCTCTCTCTCTTCAGAGTTATCCTCCTTGTTACTTACTAGGTTAGCTCGCCAGATACAGAACTCTTTCCAAACCCTCACACACACTTGACTCGCCTCACTCGATTCTTCCCTAAACCCACCCCTTCACACTCTTCCCTGGATTTCGGTCCAAAACTCATTGGTAAGAGCTCCCCAATCACCTCAGACCACGCCGTGCAGGTGGTGTCGATGGCCCATTTCTTATCTTGTTCCTTCCTCCCCCCCAGAACTCGATCCCAGTTGCAAGTTGTCCTCGTGTGTAAGATACCAAGTGCTAACTCGGATTGAAAACAGGAAACCGTGGTCGACTTCACCATGCCACCACCACCCAACAATCCTCCCCCAAAGCCATCGAGCGAACCCAACATTCCCGGAGTCAGCTAAATGTCTCCTCGACCTCGCTCGACACCACCGCAATCAATCGGGTGAGGACTCTGCCCTTGATCTCCTAATCAGGCAAGGGGGATGACTTAGGGCCCAGGATTGGAGGATCAGGTCAATGAACTGTCACGAGTAGATGGAAACCTTCACACGTTCGTTACATGGAAACACTGGCCAGGGTCAGGCTCTTTTGAGCTGGCGATAACTTGGGACCAGGATTGGAGGATCAGGTCAATGAACTGTCACGAGTAGATAGATCTTCTTCGGAAGCCACGTTCGCTGTATGGAAACACCAGCATCAGTCTGAGTTTCACTATTCGGTCTTCTTGTCGCACCGAGATCCCGTAGCATGGTGTGGGGGCCTGTTGAAGACATCCAGCTCCCGTTTGTCTCCTGCGACTCGGAATTGTTTTGTTTTTCGCAGAGAGACTCTCGTCGTAGTGCTCTAGTGTCTGTAGTCCTGTCTGCACCTCCTGTAAACCCTCACCATGGACAACCAAGTCATCGCCTGAGGATGGGGTGAGCATGGGAATTGTAGCGAGACGCTGGATGACAAAGGAAATGGGATTGACCGGTATAATCAGTTCTCGCTGCCGACGCCTGACGAAGACATTATCGCTGTCACGGTACCCCGCACGAGGCTGCCTACCCTACACGAGGCTGAGTGTATAACATTATCTACCGCGTTATCTCTATAACCACTAGTTAGACTCTTTCGTACTATAATTCATTAATTTAAGCGTACAGCGTAATATCTTATAGTACCTTTATTAATATCGCCTCTCAGCCTTTACTTTAAAGAACTATAACGCGCCCTTAAGATCCTAATCGCTACTAAACTATACTTAGTAAGGACGCCCGATTAGTTTACTTTATTTACT